GTGTATTTGTTTTTTATTTATAATTTTATATATATATTTTTTTGTATGATTGCTGAAAAATAGTATAGTATTATGGGCAGTGATATTTATTTGTATTTTAGTTTACTTTTATTTTCACATATTTCATACGTTCCAATGCAATTTGTATCCTTTTTGTTTTTTATTTATTTTAGTAGATTAAAAAAATAATAATAATGTTTTTATTTTTTTGTTTTCTGCAATCTTTTTCACTATACAACTAATCATCTTCTCTTATATAAATCCATTGAAATCATTATTTAAACAAAAAAAAAAAAAATCTAAAACAAACTTCTAAAAAATTACTTTCCATTTTCTTGTTCTCTCCGCAAGCGAGACATGTTGTAGCTAGGATCATCGACTAGGTCATCCGTCCTTAGAGTTACATTTAACCCTAAAATTCTTTAAAAAATTTAAAAAGAGCAATGTGCTGACATGAATAGTTTAATTGATCAATTTAAACTCTATTCAATATTAGAGTATCAAATTACTATTTCTAAATCAGCCCAAAATTATTAACTCTAAAAGAATTTCGAAACATATCTAAAGGCAATCGATGTAGATGTAGATGTAGAGTGGAGATGGAAGTAATCAAGTAACTGTAGAGTTATTTGGAGAAGAGGGAATGTCTTAATTAAGGGACCCCTTTTGGACCAACCTATCTATCATATCCATCCATATATATGTCAGAAATACCTTCCTACCTCTCCCATATATACATACATATATACATATAGCTAGGTGATGAGATGATAATGACCAGCAGCATCCACATATATATATATATATATTGATGTAATGATAGTGGTGACAATAATAATTTAATTACTCATCAAATGGAGTTGATTTTAGGAAATTGAGTTCAAGACTCTTCAAGAATGAAATCAATATTAGCGAGTTTTATTTATTATATTATATTTAAAATATTATATTAACATCTATTTATATAAAATTATTTTAATTTAAATTTTTTTACTATCCAAAATTCAGATTCAAGACTCAAATACAACACACCCATATCCAAATAAATTCACTCAAAGTTTCTTATGTCTGATTTACATTTTTATTCATTTGTTCCTCGTCGAATATATACATAATTCATGCCTTGTTGTTCTATGATTATCATTATTAGGTCTTGCACAAATTTATTAGATTAACTTACATTTGTTGTTAAATATTATCGTCTTCTTTAATTACTATTACAATTAGATTGATTGTTTATTTAGTGATGAGACGAGAAGAGAAAAGAAGACAGGAGAGCGACACATAACTTAGTGTTTTGGCATATTTGGCAACGATAATTAATTACATATTTGTATGTAGCAAAAGGACAGATGTTACATGAAATTAAATTATTATTATTATTATTATTATTATTTGTATCTTCTCTATGTTAAAAGGGGTCCTTTGTTCTTCTTCAATTATCAAATACATGTCCATCTGGTTATCACATGGACTTCTGCCCACCTCTTTGTCCATGCATTTTATATATATATATATATATATATGTATATATTTGTAAAGAAGGGATCCGGACATCCAATCTAAAACTAATTGGTGATAGGTGCAGTGATCAGTATAATAGGGGAGTTTCCACGCATTTAACAATGTGGAACAATATTCAACAATATCTATATTGTCCATTAATTCATTTCATTTCTCAAGAAGAACAGTTGTTTAACTATACTTTGATTAAATAATAATTTTCATGTTAATTGTTTCAAACTTCTTTGTTGTGATATGTATTTAAAATATATATATATATGTGCATTTGTATATATTATAATTATAACATCAATCTTTTTTTTATATACTCCTTCAGTCCCTGGCTATCGTATCTCATTTTACTGTAAATACGGAATTTAGAAATTATAATTAGTAAATAATTAAAAATATTATTAGTAAAAATAGTTATCGTATAATAAAAATAATTTTGGATTAAGATTAAAATAACTAATTAGTCTCATTAAAATTTAAATTTTAAAATGAGATTGAAGTGTATAATTTTTTTCTATAAAAGAAAAGTGACAGAATAAATGAAAAATTGGACACAAGGGAGTAAGATTTATAGAGATTGTGAACTTAATTTAGTTTGATTTATATCCCACTATAAAAATGTGTGATATTTTAATGAAATGGAAATTAAATTTAGTTTAGTATTCCAATAATTGTAAGGCTATATAGTTTAAAATTTTAAAGTTCTAAAAGAAGATTGGAAAATTGGTAAAAAGTAACATTAAATGAAATGGAAAATTTTTTATTTATAACATTAAATGCAATTGATATTTTACTTAAAAAAATTAAAACTAACAAATAAAATATCTCACAACAAAGTTAAAATAGGAAAAATTAATTTTTAGTTATGTAACTTACCCTCTCTATCATTTTAGTAACTAGAGCACATAAACAAATACTACAATTTAAGTGGTATGTAAAATAGTAATCATATTTTTCAAAATGATTTTTTAAATTTTAAATTAAATTTCTTTATTTGTAATTTGGAATACTTCCTCTCTCCATGGTATCAATATATTTATTTATGGTTTTTACATAAATTTTAAATATTAATATTTTATATTTATATTTTTGCTTCTTTGTTTCACTCGCCTAGTGTGACTTGTCTTATTAGACATATTTTGCAGACTATTAGATTTGATCGAAAATTTATCAGAGCGTACTTGTTGAGTAGCGACTGCAGTTCTCATGTTATCAAAAGTAAATAAATTATGTTAATAACTCTATTTGCAATAATAGGTAAGAAATAAGAGTATTTTAAAAATATATATATTTAGGGTGACCACAATTACTCAAAAATGAATAAATTGATTTCAGAGATATCAACATGAAAAAAAAAAAAAAAAAATCTAAATTGTTTACAGGTAGATTGAGTGATTGAATCAAATATTTTTATGACATATAAATCTACAACTATTACTCTTTAATTGCGTTTTAGGTAATTTTTTTATTGAACCTAATAGCATACAAATTAGATTAACAGGCAAGATCAAGAATCATCGAAAATTTTTGAATTTATTATCTCACAATTACGAATTTACATTTCAAGTTCACCCTTCAAGTCCAATTTTATTAACTTTTTAATGTGGGGGGTGGTGTTGGCCTCATTTTATTGTCATCAATTTTGGTACTTTAGAAAAACAAAATTCCAAGTTGGACACATTATATAAAGCATGTGGCCTTCCAATTGAAGGTTTGTTTATTTGTGTTTATTTATATTTATTCTATACTACTATTAAAGTTATTAATTTTTTAAAAATAAAAATAAATACTGCAGATCTAATTCTAATATATATATATATTTTTCATTTAAAGCACAATTCCAATCACTTTTTACTATCAAAACTGAAATACAATAAAATCATAAAAACCAAGCAATATCAAACACATTTTTTAGATATTTCTTAAAAAATCACACACACACAAACAAAAGAACATATAGAGAGGAAAATATTGACAATATTTTCTTATTTAAAGAAACAAAATACTCCCTCCTTCTGTCCCTTAACAATCTATCTAATTTTCGTCCGTCCCATAACAAAGTATCCATTTTCTTTTTTAGTAATTGTACTATCTACCTAACATTACAAATATCCTTCCAATTTATAATATATTACACAAATGTCATTACCTTTATATTATACAATACTAATATTTCTAAAATTCTGTGTAAAAAGCAAATGGATATATAAATATAGGACAGAGGGAGTAATATTCCTTAGAAAATGGACTCCAAGATATTTAAAATTTTAAAGTTTGAATTTAGTCTTCTACAACTCATCATTAGAAACAAAAGCTTCATTGCATATATTGTTTGATGTTACCACATGTGTTATTTTAAGAAAGTTGATATGCTAAATAGTCATAAAAATATATTCATTAGGGTTAAATGAATCTTTTTAGCATTGGATGAAATATTTGTGACAATAAATAATAGTCACACTACGGCCCAATCTATTTTGGCCCAATTTTTAATATCTTCTAAATGTTTAATTTATTATTTTTGAATTTATAATCTATTTTTCATTCAATTTTATATTTACTTTTTTTTTTTATATTGTCAGATAAAAAAAAAAATTGTTTTGTATTTTAGCAAAAAATTATATATATTATTATTATGGAATGGACTAAAAACGATAAAAACTGACAAAATATATACTTTTACATGGATGGACGAAGGATATTATAATTTTATCATCAGGAAATTAGCTTTATAATTTAAAATTTTTTGGAATATTGAAATGAGATAGATGGAAATTGATTAAATGAGTAGCAAAAAGAAATGCTCGACGAGAGGCTAATTGAACCGCAACCGGAACGAATTCAAGAGTTAGGCGAGCATCTTCATCGGCGGAATGGTAAATAAAAATGACCATTGCCCTTAATATTTTGACAAAAAAAATGTAAATTTATACCATAAAAAGAATCAAGAAAAAATATATATGTGTATACGCCCGATAGTATATAGTAACACCTTGTTTACTTTAGATTTATATCTACATCAATAAAGTCCATTAATTCATGACTTTAAGTTTATATTGCATCAAATTGATATGGTGTAAAATAATTGTTCCTCTTTTTTCTTTTTTATTTTTTATGATGTGAGAATCCGCAGCCATTATCCGAAAGTGCGCACTGGGTTAACCCCCGACCGAATCTAATACCCTGTAAACCAGGCCCGACGGAAAAGTCACACTAGGTAAACCATGTGTGACAGGTGACCGAAGCGTCGGGTATATTTTAAAATTATTTTGTCAAAATTTAAAGAATTGCTTGATAGTATATTTTAATGGTTTAATAATTGGCATGAGTAAACCCAATGCATCAATACAAGTGACCATAAATATTATGCAATGGCAGAAAAATATAATATACACGATGGAATTTTTTTTTTTCATTTTTCATTTTTTTCATTTTTTTTTTTAGGTATATAGACTTTCTTCTTTTTTATTTTTAATACAACTATGTTATTTCCAGTAAATACACAAAATAGAGTATTATATTTAATAATTATTTTACCAAAACTTACAAAAGCATATATGTTCGTGTTATGTATATATACAGGAAATGAGTGTTAAAAAGCTTGTACCATTGCTGGAATGGCTACAACATCTTCTTTCTCTTCTTCTTCGTCATCTTCTTCAGCTTCCCACATGAAATGTGCATACGATCCCAATATTGTACTGTAAAATTAACCACCACACCCATTCTAAATTTAATCAATTAATTTCTTCATCAATATATATATTATTTTAATATCTATAATTAAATTAAACTGTTATGCATATCTATATGTATATATATACCTGTCGTTAGGGGAGGCTTGGAGGGCCTGATTGAAGTAAAAGGAGGCTCGGGTCCGGTCCCTCAGGGTCTGCCACGTCAGCTTGGCGTAGAGACAGAGAAGGTCACCGTCGGGGGGCCCCGACAAGATCGCCCTCTCATAAAACTCCGCCGCCATGGCCGCGTCCTTCTCCACCTCCTCAAGGTACTGTCCGTAGTTTCTCAGCAACAGACAGTTCGTCGGATCCGCCCTCACCATTTTCCGGTAGTACTCGCCTAGACTCCGCCGATCATCTCCGCCGCCGCCGCCGCCGCCGCTTCGATTTCCTTGCTGGCGGTGGTTGTTGTTGTTGTTCGTTCCTCCGGCGGCGGCGGCGGCGGCGTCTTCGTCTTCGTCTTCGATTACGCGCGGCACCGTGAAGGATCGTGATCCCAGGGTAGCGCCGCCGATGCTGCTCCGCCGCGCCGAGGTGTGGATGAGATCGGGCTCCGACGAGGTCCGCCGGATGCTCCGCCGAGACATCTGGGAAAGGATCCTTGGGAAGGAGGCGCCGCTCCTCTCGGCGGCGGCGGTCGGATCTTGGAACGAGAAGGAGGAGCGGCGAACCGGGGGCGACGATGGCGTCTGGACCGGAATCGAACCGGAGCCGGTTCGGAATGGGAGAGACTCCATATTTTTAAGTTTGAGCTGAATTCGAAGTCAATGAGTGTATATATACATACATATAGAGAGAGAGAGAGAGAGAGAGAGAGGGGGGGGGGGAAAAAGGAGTCAGGTTAGAGTGGTAACTACGCCCCACGTGGCATGGTGCGCACGTGACTGGCCACGACGGCGTGAAAACGGTGAGCCAGAGCCAGCCGACAACGTCACGGGGAAACCGCGGCGCCGTCGAGCCACGTGGGCATTATGGGCAAAAGCTTTTTGACGGACGTCTCCGTCACCGTTTGAAAATTCTATTCCATCAATCCTCCATGTTAAATAACGGGGTGTGCTCGATCAATCTTTTAATTTAAGATTTTTTCTATGATGTATGAAATAGTAATATAAGTAAAAGACAGAGCTTCGAATTTTATCAGATGAATTTTTAAATTATAAATTGAATAGTTAAAAAAATATTTATTTTATTATTATAGGTTCTTAGTAATTTAGCATATTGGATGAATCTTGTTCATCGTGTTAATAGTATTTCAAATATGAGTAGAAATCAAAATATAAATATTAATTTACTACACTAACATTGATCTCAGCACAATATAATAAAATATATTTATAAAGTATAAATCATCAACACATTTTTCAATAAATCCAAAATTTGTATTTATTTTTATGTTTTTTCAATGTATTATAACCTAATACTAATATTTAAAAGAAATCTCCATTCCGAAGCCATCATAGTGAACAGAAAGAGTTACCTTGGAAATAGGCATCATTGATGGCCTCATGTGATGGCCACGTGAATATCCTTCTTATCTGTGCATGAATTGATTCCTTCATCTATTCACTTTGGCTCTCTCTTTTTGTCATACTTATTATTTTATTATCATAATCATAGTTGTAAGTTTCGACGATTTTACTATTTTGAAGTAAAAAGATAAATAAATATAACATTTACAAATATATGAAATGTATCTATAAGTAATACTTGTGATGCAAAGACAAGAAGGATAATAATAATTATATATAATATAATGTAATATTTAGTTTTATTCAAAATATAACACTTTAAATTTATATCTATTTAAAATATTATACCAACTACATTTTATAGTATATTCATTAAAAAAATTGCAAGAAAGCACACCCCTAATGTATAACTACCATTATTGAAATTTATACTACTTTTATAAGTGAAAAATAACCTAATATCAGCTAGAGTATCATAAATACATCCCATAATGTCACACTAACACTAGAAAGACATCATTGCCAAGCCAAACTTAGATAAACTACTAAAAATGACTCCCATGTAATGTAATAAAAACAAACAAATAAATATTAAATTAAATTAAATTAAAATTTCTGTTGGAATATACTCTCACCCTCGCCCTACTTTGTGGGGTATATCACACACTTAACCAATGTTTCCCCTTCATTTTCTCACCCCAACAAGACACCTAAGTTCTGTGCAATCTTCAACTCCCAACCAAAATTCAAATTAAAATAAAATTTTAAACGGAAAAGACAACACATTCTTCAGACACCCAAAAACACAAACAAGTTTCAATCTTGTTAATGCTCTCAAGAAAACCTTCTTTGGCCAACATTACCTCCTGTTGGCACCTTACCCTATATAAAACTTTTTCTTTTTACCTTCTTCAGGGACTGCAATGTCAGACAGATCCACCCAATCTTCTCCGCTGCCGCCGGTGACGCCAAGAATAGGGCCGCCGCAATTTACATACCCACCGCTAGCCATCATCCTCACGATCATCCTCCTCCTACTTTTCTGCGTGGGATTCTTCTCCATATACTATTGTCGATGTCTCCTGGACAATGCCCTTATCAGTTTCCATATCCGGCCTCGCCGGCCCACGCAGGCTGCAGTGGCAGGGAGAAGAGGGCTTGACCCAAAAATAGTAGAATCCTTCCCGACATTCGTCTACTCGAGCATCAAGGATTACTGGAAGGAGAAATATGGCCTTGAGTGCGCCATCTGCCTGGTTGAGTTCGACGAGAGCGATGTCCTCCGGCTCCTGACAACATGTTACCATGTTTTCCATCAACAATGTGTTGACCTCTGGTTGGAGACTCACAACACATGCCCTGTCTGCCGGAGGAAGCTCGACTGCACAGGGGAGTCGCCTACAAAATCACCCTCAAGAACGGTGCAAGAAATCAATCATAACCAGGGCAACAACAACAATGACAACGAGGAAGTCAGCATCACAATTAGGGATCACGATGAGGAGGATAGAACGAGGGTGGATGAGAAGGGGCAACGGGTTGCCCTTTCTGGGAGTGACAAACAAGGAGAACACAATGACTCTCAACAATGTAGTAAGATAGAGAAGCTTTCTAGGTCAAATTCAACAGGGCATTCGGTAAGTATTAATGTAGAAGATAGGTTCACTTTGAGGTTGCCTGAACATGTAAAAACTAATCTTATTAAAGGACACAATCCTAGCAAGAGTTGGAGCAATTTTGGGAGTATAAAAGGCATGGGCAACAATGGCAGAGATGTTGATCTCGCCGAGCCTTCAGGTGAAGACAGCAACAGCAAAGTTTAGATGTCTTCTTAGTTGTGGTTTTTGTCTTTTTGTAGGAATCTCTTAAGGATGGAAGATATTTGCATATTTTGAAATTAATGTCTTTTATGTTTCACAAACAGAACTTAAAGATGAAAGACTTATAAAGGTACCTAAGAATCAATTCCCCGTATCCAGTGAACTCTAAGTGAAGTTTGTAAAATTATGTCCGGCAAGAAAAAGCATCTAAAAGCAGCTTTTCAACCAATTTCAAATCAGAATCAATGTAACATCCACATACTTATCCTCAACCTGACAACATTCAAATATTCTCAAAGGCCATAAAATCACCCAACAAGTTTCATGCAAGCATCAATTAACTCAGGAAAGAAATAATAACATGCTAAAGTTTCGACTTGGATAGCTATAAAGCATGACAAATAGGCTAATTAACAGCAGCATGACTCAAAGGGTGATCGCAAACAAGTTTGTACCTTCAGATGGTGTGAATGTCAATGTGGAAACTCACAGCATCCACAATATTAAAACAGTGGAAGGAATATGCAAAGAGGGCTGATGAAAAACATATTAACTTCTGAATATAAAAGTTAGGCCACCAGCGATGGCAACCAAGACAAACTTATCAGGATTACAACATTACTAGAATTATGCGGGGGAAAAACATCATACGCTTAATAAATGTAAACTAACCTGACTTCTAATTAAAAAAGCTCCAACTGCTGTGTCATATCCAGACACTGAGATTCATACCTCATATTCTTCAATGGCTTTATTTCATTTTTCTTCCTGACTTATCTATTATGTATGGCATCTGATGAAAGAAGCCCCATCTGCTCTGTAAGCTGCACCATATGCTGGGCCTTGTCCCATCCATTTGCTGATTGCTGTGTTTCAATTCCCTCTTGAAGATCATCAATCGTGCTGGAGTCAGTCTCAACTGGAGATGAGCTCTGAAGGAACTTCTCCCAGAAGGGATCGCTTACTCCAGGAAGCTCTGGAATCTCATCCAGTAAGGTGTCGTCCCATTCCATATGAGAATCGGAGGGAATCCCACCACCCATGTCGAATGGAATTTTGCCACCCACTGCCAAAGATGCAGGATCCATGAAAAGGCTACCATTTACTTCTGGTCCCAGGATATCAGCACTAGTTTCGGGCACCATTTGAGAGAGCTCCGGTATCATAGCTTCTGTTGATGGAAGGCTAACAGAAGGTGCTTCCTGAGTGCCAATAAGAGGGTTCCCTCCTAAAGCTTGATTAGTCACAGCTTCAGGAGGTGCTCCAATGCATGGTGATTGAATATCAGACGTTGTTGCAGTAGAACCAACACTAATTGAAGAACTTAACGGGGCAAACGATGGCCCAGATACAGGGGATACTTCTTGAAGTGTCACTCCTGTAACACGGTTTGAAGAACTCCCACAGTCCAATGTTGGAGAATTTGATGACCCATCACCAATCAAGAAACTATCAGAGTTGCTGAAGGTTTCTAGTATTGAAGGAGAATCTACTTTCATAATCTGCCTAAGCATAGCTTTCGCAGCCTCATTAATCAGTGGTTGGTACTTGATAATTTGTCCATCTTGTTGGCTGACAGCTCCATCGTCTGAAGAACCATCTTGAGTAAGTCTCCGCTTCTTGTTGCCTTCTGCTATACGCCGACTGCTATCATTTGGCTGCTGCATAATTTGTGCAAGAAATCCAGGACTGTTCACAGCCTTGGCCAAGAATGCCATCATCTGCTGTTGACGTTGTTCCATACCTTGAAGGCGTTGAACCATTGCTTGTAGTTGACTGTCGGTGGTCTGTTGCTGCTGCCTCAACCTTACAAGCTCCTGCATCAGCACATTCTTGTCCCTCTTAAGCCACTCAACTTCTTCTTCAAGCCCAAATTTCCCAACCTCAACACATGATGCAACTGCAGAACCCTGTCCATTTGGCTGCTGTGGCTGCTGTGAGTGTCCTTGAGCAGGCTTTCTACGATTGATATTTTTAAGCAAATGCTTTTGCCCTCTCAGGAATCCCTCATTTGCAAACTCCCAGCGATCTGGGTCAACTTTTCTGAAACCCTACACGGCAATCACACATCAAATTAATTACTTAATGAGAGTAGACCTACACAAGCATCCTTTCATTATGATGCCAAGTTTGGCCTCACTCACTTAGGTTGCACACCTGGAAGGAAATTAGGTAGAAAAGAAACACTAGACATACTCAATAGGCATATTTTGCAGGCTTAACAGATTCGACAAGGATCATTTTGAAGGGCCTTGTAGATAAAAATTTTCAGTAATTCGAAAAATCAGTTAAATTAACAAGGTGATTTATTTTGATGAAAAGAACTGCAGTTTTAATTAGCATTCACTTCAGTAATTGCTTGTCAACATGGTGTTCAGGTATATTAGGCTCATTTAATTGAAAGAGGGAATCAGAAAAGTCAACCTGAAATATAATGCAAGTTTTCCTTGCTTCCTGAAAGCTTGAAATGATAAGATAAACTACAGGTGTAACTATACTAGAGCTTTGCATAACAGGTTCGAAGAAACAAAGCTATGCATAACAGGTTCGTAGAAACAAAATGATAATAAATCTACTGAACCTTACCAACAACAACAAATGAAAAGCAAAGAAACCCAAATCCAAGTCCTATCTTCAATCAAACAGAACATGTTTTTCTGAAAGCCATCACTATAACCAGTTTCCAAAAGATGCTAAATCACTCCAAAATTTTAAAATTTCCACATCTAAAAGGTAGAGAGATCCTGCCAATACAGTACCATCACTGCTTCATATAAGATCGAACCAACAAAAGATGGAACCTTGACTAAATCCTGATCTAACTTAAATCATCCAAAACTGAACTAGACTCCAATCTCAAAAAAATCAAAATCCTACAATATATACATATATATTTATATATATATTGCTAATATCGTCCTCAGCCTCAACCTACAGAACTAAGGGAAAATCAAGCTCTTCTTCTTACGAGCTAAATAAGAACAATCAAATTGCCAACATCACCAAACAAAAACTCAGCTCTCAGAATTAAATATAAACAAACAACAAATAACAGCAAAAATTCCAATTTCAAAGACAAAAAGCCTAATAACTATCTAGCAAGCACTCAACATTCAAAGTAAACATCATCCCAAAAAATACCTAAAATGGTAAGGAACCAAAAAACCAGTAACGAAAGCGTCAAAAAGATAAGCCGAGAATAAACAACATACATAAGTATTGAGCTGACGAACAAAGCTGGAGAAATTATTGTGCTTGAAGTACTTGGGCAGCAAGTCTCGAGCAAACTCCGCTGAATCCCACACGATGAAGCTGTTGTTAGCGGGACTCCACGACACTATCTTGTCAGACGCGGGGTCATCCACCATATCATAAGTCTTAACCAGAAACGGCGGCGGAGCATTCGCCGACGGGATCGGAGCCGGCTGCGGGACAGCCCCTCCGCCCTCGCCTCCGCCGCTATTAACGCTAGAAGCAGACGACGCCTCCATGATTAAATAGTAGTACTACATTTAAGTAACCAAAGATTCGGTCGATTTGATTACACGCCGCGGATTACAAGAAGTGCAACAAATTCCTGATGTAGTGGGGTTTTGGATTGGATCATCAGAATTTGGGCAGAGTGATTGAATTGAAGTAAACTAAACCCTAAGATTTGGGGAAGAAGTGTTTTTGGGAACCCAACCCACAGGGAGAGTGGCTGTACGGTTACGCCGAACAACGAACTTTAACGGGGCGAGCAAATACAGACACGTGTGCTAATGGAGCTTTAATGATACGACCATATTGACGCTACTTTCCCTTTTAATATTTTCTACTATATCTGTTAGTCTTTTGTCCTTTTGTTTTTTTGGGTCCAAAAATATTTCATAAGAAGATTATAATGTTTTATTATCAGATTAATTTTAAAATAAAAAAAGTATAAGTTTATCCAAGTTATATTGTATATAAAGTAAATATTTTAAATTTATTGCAATTATATTACGGCATATTTTAATTAATTTTTATAATATATTTTTGTTTATATGTTCAGTCAATAATGCATAACTATAAGCAGTATTCCCTCGCGTACATACAAAATTATTCATTTTTTTTCCTTTTTTTTTTTTTATTTTACCTAATTTCCGTGTTTAAGAGTAACATAAAATGTTTATCCGAAACAGAAAAAATATTTATCTTTTATATTATATTAAAAATATAATTCTTTTATATTTATAACAAGACATCATTACTTATTTAAATTAGAAGACATGTGTATGGTTAATTATCTTATTTATATTTTGCCCATGATTAGATAGGCTCTTTTATTCATATAGAAACTATGATTGTTGCCCCCTCCAACCCTCCAACTCACCCTTCATCTCATATAAGAATTTTAAAACTGATTTATCGGGGACAGTTACCGTACTGATTAAATATAAATTTTATTTAGCATAAACTTTCCAACATCCAAACAAAGTAGGATCATATGTAATGTAATTCAAAATAGTTCGACATAAATCCTCAAGCGACGTGTATTGCTACACTTGACGCGAGAACAACCGGACGGCACAATAGTGCCAATCCTAAAGTGCTCATGTCGCAATGTCGAATAGCAACAAAATAATGCATATCGGTACCTAATCAAGGACCGTTTCGATTTTGAAAGCATTCAGTAATATAGGCAAGAGCATAAGCAAAATACAGTTTCTACTACTGATTTTAAGCATTTTCGATCTAGAAAACACACTGTAGGTGTGGCAATGCACATATGGACCCAAAAAATGAAAATTTAACCAAGAACACACCTGAAACCGAGATTGTGCAGCTCGGAAAACAGGTTTAAGGTAACCAAGCAGACCAGAAAATATGGATAAAAGTGATCGAGATTGTACCATTATTTTTGTGAGGCTGTGTACTGACTATTTGTCATTTCGGAACTCCTGTGCTGGAAGATCACCTGTTGCAATAATCCAAGTTTGTTACAAGCATATTCAGACTAGAAGGATTACACAGCTCAAACCATCGATGAAGGTCGTGATCGCCAAGTAAATTGATCAAACGACATGATTAGGTGTTCGTTTCTATTGCAACCAAAAAAAAAAAAGTGTTTATTAATACTACTTGATTGTACTCTTTCGTTCCAAAATTTCGGCTTCATTTCCTCCATCAAATACACGTTGTAAATATGATTGTATTAGCAAAAATATAAAACTGGAATGTACAATCAATTGTATTTCAACCACCTATTTTATGAACCCAAATCATACCGAAATTACAACAACAGTTACCACTGGGATTTCACATCTAAAAAATAAAACAAGGGGGATTTCATAGCGAAAATGATCGTTGGATCTCAGAAAAGAACTACTAATGTGGATGTTTGAATCACAATATTATCAGATTCAATAATTTTAATAACTTACGTGGTTTTGAAATCAAGTGAAAGCGGGATCGTGGGCCATCAAACATCCAGCTATCTTCATCCAGGGACTTGACCTCCTTATTGAGCTTCTCCATTGAATCAGCTTTCAGAGCTGCAAAAATACCGCACGTCTTTCACATTGTCCTTTTCCAAAAGCATCAAGACACAAGCACGAAGAATTAAGTGTATCACAGTGTTGAGCATAATACAATAATGAGAAAAGGAAAAAATATATATATATGAAAATTGATTATTGAATTTTGAGGCACGGGCACTACGAGAATGCACCAAACCAAAAAAAGAACATGAAGATTTGAAGGCATAAATGAGTCGAGCTAATCAAACCATACTCAATCATTTGAGTTTTATAACTACATTTGAAATCTTGATAAAAACTTAATAGTGGACTGAAACAACGCAACACTTGGTCATCATCTACCTAGAGCTGCTAATAGCTAACATTCTCGATGTAGATCAAACCAGGCACACAGTTTTACACTTCTACTCAATACTATGGCTCATCTCTAACATGAACAAGGAATGCAGACCCAAATTCATGCCGTGAACATCTAAAACCTATTCCCTCGTCAGCTCATTCACTCCATTAATTCAGGCAACTCTATAGTGATAAGTACAGAGATTGAAACTTGCATTATGAAACCACATGGAAGTTTAACAGGACAGGAAATGTAAGAGCATTGATGCAGGAGGAATAATTATAAATTTTAAAATTGGCGAGTAACAAACCGAGCATGGCCTGATCCTTGCGATCTTGAAGGGTGAGTAAATTGACATCTGCCGCCGCCAACGCCAAGCCGTGATGCAAATGATGGTCATCGTCGCCCGTCGAAGAAGATGCTGCTGGCACTCCCGCTGCTGCCGACAAGCTCCCGCCGCTCATTGCATTCGCTTAAATTATCTAGCAACTCAACATCAATGTCAATCTCCCTAGTAGCATAGTACTACTGAACTTTCTCCTTTGAGCAAAAAGGGTATGGAAGCGAAGAAATGACCATTCAGTTCAGGTCACAAGCTAATAAATGGTCCTAGTATATGTGAATCTTGCTTTAGCCTTCACGTGAACCCTAGACTCGTCTCGATAATGCAATTAATGGCAATCAAATCAAAGAAAAGCAACAACATAGCAGGTTCATTTTCAAGTGATTCTAGCAACCAAACAACCGCATAAATAATTCTTCCAAATCATTCTCCATCCCCGCAATTCACTTGAAATCAGAACTATTACCCGCACCTTATAAATGAAATCGAAAATCACAAACCAAAAAAATTCACCATAATCAGTAAAATCTGGAACCTACTCTACATCCACAAACCATACACAGACAAACTTGAATCAGCTCACACAAACAAGCGCACCGAACAAAACTTTAAAAAATAAATAAATTTCTACTCACCGATCTGCTACTTGAAATTAACAGTAAAAGGGTATGGGAATTGAGACGAATGACGGGAAAAGGAAGCTGAGGCGGCGGCGGTGGAGCGGCGACGGCGTGGTGTGGAATATACAAACCGAACGATCAAATTCAAAAACTTTTATTAGTATTATTTTCCTTTTAACATTTTGGGGTTTCTTATTTTATTTCTACAGCCCGATGGACGGTGGGGATCTCTCCGATAGGCCCTACCATTATTATAACGGCTCCGATTAAACATTTTTTAATGGAATATTTAGTTGAATGTACTGTAATTTAGTATATACTAGTTTTTGAGTAATTTAAGAATGTACTGTAATTTAGTATATACTAGTTTTTGAGTTATTTAAAATTAGTACTATAGCATGTAATGTACGAAATATTTTAGTTATTTTTATTTTATTACAAAAATATAAAACAAATACGACAAAAAAAAAAAAAACATACTGTTAAAAATATTTACAGAACACAGCTAACTACACAAGAGAATCCCATCTCACACAACTGAGTATGAAATGTTAAAGGAATTAAAAATATAGTTTGGACATTGAAATGAACATAACACTTGTAGATAGATAGAAATCTTGAAGAAGAAACAATCATTCCACCACAATCAACAACATTAACACCCAAACCAGGATGCAGTATTTACAAGATGAAATCAATAGAATACACCTTAACACATACGTAATTTTGCCTCGCCCCGCCCCGATGAAATTGACGCATAGTTCATTCGAAAAGCAACGTGCTTCAAAGAACCACATTGTCTACCAGATATTGCTAAAGCCCTCAAAAACCACGAAGAACATCAACACACAACGGTAAGCTTTCAAGCAGCAAGTACTATTATCACTATGAGAAGAACGATCCCGAAGATCACTAGTAGTAGGCAAGCCTGCAGTGAGAAAGGTGAATATGAGATGTCTGAGTGAGAGGAATCTGAATTCACAACTTGTGCTCATAAACATTACATTTACTGTGCAAATATTCAATCAGATCATAAATCATCAAAATTACCATTTTATAAAGCCCCCGATATATATAATTCTAGATTGTGTAGTGCTAAGAGACCTATCCCCTAGTTATTTTATTCTTCATTTTCATCGTGGCAGAATAAACCCCTTTTTCTTCAAACCAATAAAAAAATAAAAATATCTGAAACAAGCGAAGTAGATGCGCCAACCACTCACCAAAGAAGAATTTGACTTCTGGGTTTTAGATGCTTTGACGAGTTGGGATTTTGCCTGAGCAGTTGCAGCATGAGAACCCTCAATATTCGAGCCAATATCATCTGTGTAGGGGCAGATGGTATTCATGTTAGAATGATGTAAAGAGGATTGTCTTATCATCTGTAGAGGAAAAAGTTACTGTCTTACCGATCATAGTTCCTTGCTCATGAACAAGCACAGCAAGGTCCTTGAAAATCTCATTCACTTCACCAATTTGTTGCTGTATTTCTTGTATTCCCTGCTCCCTTTCCTCTATGATGGCCTCGTTGAAAGCAATCTCATTGTCCAGCAGCAAAACCTCCTGCCTGCAGCACAAACACGGAAACATCAGTAGACATATTTAAACAAAACAATACGGAGGCTACAGTTGCTAAAAGAATAAATTTGGCTTAATGTATTTATTGCTATCTATTAGTTACTACAATCGCACATGGTGCATTACCATACTCTAGTACCTTTTCGTTTCCATAAGAAGAGCTTGTTGTTCGGGGTTTTTGTCTCCATTTCGCTCCATATCACCAGGTGAGTAACTGCAGGAGAAATTAGTCCACAAGATGATCATTCCAGACACAATTTAACAATAGCGATAAAAGTGGTTCACCACTCAGCATGGATAGAGGAAACTCACATTTCAGTTTTCTACTGCCTGAAAAGGTGAAAGTTGTTTTTCTTTACTTTATCCAATTACAATTATTAATTCGCATTTCTTACTCTCCATAAAATGCACGCATGTGTGTGTGTATGTTTTTTACTTGTATAATTACTTTCTACACATTTTTTTATGATAGCAACAGATCAATAAATTCCACATGACCACATCTCAAATCTTCATCATATAGAAGATATATTGATGCCGCATCAACAATAACAAGATACAAAGACATAAACTAAGACAATAACCACTCAATGTTCACACAATGAAAGTACAGAACCGAAAACCAAAGACAAACCAAACAACTATTCAGCAACTTTGTCCTCTTATAAATTTATATATGTAGCCTAGCCAATAGGAAACCAGAGTGGGTAAAATTCCCACAACTGAAATTTTTAATGTTGTATAGAATATATTACCCAGAAGCTGCTTGGGCAACAGGACCATAAGCTGTCTCCCGCTCAGCAGCAAGCCGTTGAGCCTTCTGAAACTCCTTAAGAACTGCTTGAAAATCTTTTGCAAGTTTAGCATCCGTAATTTTCTTACTTGCCTGCATGAATCAGAGAGAAAATCATGGTCAGCCATCACGTTTGAGCTGCATAACAAGTAGAGTTCAAACATCATGTAATCTGCTTCATAAATTTGTAACTAAAATCACAAATACAGTCCACTAGAATAGTCTTGGTTTTCAAATATAAACGGCAAAACATTTTTGCTGGATAACCAAAATCCCAGGCAACGTTTGTATGAATGACAAATCTCAGGTGATCAAATGTGAGAAAAAATTTAAATAGAAAATTTTCAAAATCAACAAATAAACATTGAAGTGAACTTACACTGACTTCACCCCGATGATCAGATTCACTAGCTTGCTTGAGTTTAGCTGAAGTATCTTTCACTAACTGCCCAATATGCAATCGAGTTTTATGCCTGTGCATAACCACCATAAGTTTTGCAGGAGGTTTTTGTATATTATAACTAACATAAAGAAGAAAAAAATGCCTGCTTATAGAAGCAAATTGGCGTCTACAGTCACAACCGTACTTAATGCTTCAACTACGTTCAGTATTGTCAGCAACTAGCTCTTTATCTACCACTTCAAATGCTACTATATGCTCTAAAGCTACAAAATCGCCATAGCAGCATAGACCACCTACAAAAGATGGTTATGCAGAGAAAAATCTCTTACAAAGGTTCTACTACGATTCACATGGAAGGCTAACCATTTGCAAGCCAGACAAATACCCACCTACTCTAATACATTCACTTACTAAGAGGTGTCCACACTCTCCCCCATTTGAAACAGAAATCAGCAAAATATGACTGGAGTTAAGGTCCACCACTCAATCATCTTCTCCTTTCAAGCATCCTCACCACCGCACCTTTATGAATCCTCCTAAATGGTTATTGCAGACAGATCTGCTAGCATTATTGATGCCTAAGTGTTATCAGTTATTGCTTCAGCTTGCACACATGGAGGGCATACAAACCTCCACGATGGAAACAAGGCTATCTTCTAGGCTATCTCATGCTTTTCATAATAGGACACAGGCCAATGAATTTTTGCACAAAAAAAAAGGGTCTCTCACCATGACAAAACAGCCCTTAATTTAGGAGTAAGAGCTATGTATGTGCCGTGCACAATGGCTATTGCTTTTCTTGTAATGAGCCATTGTTTCAATAGACGACAAAGAACCTGCCGCTGCACCTACAATGCAATGGCTTGTGATGTTTTGCATTTGAACCATCAATTCAATGCAGTGTCCTAAGAATTCCATCATCAGCTCTCTAACAGATTAGTGACCAGAATTTGAACTCAAAATTGAGACACATCAGCATCTGCCCATTATTGCAATGTGTCAGCTCTCCTATTATCATCCACTATCTAATTTAGCTTACAAATGCCAAACTTCCTTCAAATGCATAGCAAGATTGCGCTATTCATAATCATAATCCACTAAAGTGCACTCAAATATTTATAAAAATGGGAAAATTATAAACCACAAGGAGGACAATAACAATAATTATTATTATAACACAAAGAAAACTAACAGCTTTTCCCGAAGCTCCGGCGTATCCTTAGGGGTGCCGAGAGTGTTGACAAGGCGCTGGAACGTAGACACGGCCGTGTTGATCTGGAATATTCCGGAAGCGACGGCCTGGGTGGGATCCTGCTTCCCATTCGCGTACCCCCTCCGCGAACCCATCCCGCGACCCGATTCAAGATCCTGAAAACTCATCCTTTCGCCCCTCTCGAACCGCGGAATCAAAACCCCCAGACCAGAATTCGACGATACAGCAACAAACCTAAAAAAGCCAGAAAACAATCAACCAAAATTGAGGACCGCAAAAACCCTAGAAAAAAATTGGTTTGGGAATCCTGCGGCGAAATTTGAGATCCCTGGTTGAACAGAGACAGCGTTGGGAGGGGTTGTGGAATTGGGGAGGAGATTGAGCACCAATCGAGGATGCAAGAGAGGAAAATTGGCGAAATTGACGGATTGATGAAGAAGGAGAAAGGAAGGAAGGAAGGAAGAGTTGTTTGGTAGCCCTTCCTTCTTTCCCTTATTTTTTAAAAATAATTAAAATAATTAAAATAAATAAATTTGAGGATAGGTTAGGGGAGAATAGGACACGCGTGTGGGGACCACGTCAGCATTTGTGGAGTGGAGCTATGCCGGCGGTTGTATTGTTTGCATCCACACGTGGCAAATAAATTTTGTTTTCGAAATTTTGAAATTAAAAGTGGTGGGAGGATATTTCTGTCAACAATAATTTTGGAGTTTGTTTGTTTGTGTTTTTTTTTAAATAATAAAATTTTGAATATAAGTAAACAGTTCATTTAATTTTCCAAATGATCAAATTCTAGATATTAACACAAACTAAAATAATTGGGTAGCGGAAAATTCTAGAGATTAAGATAATCTAAAATTATTGAGCAGCGGAATCTGTGTTGATCCGGCTAAGTTAATATGGTGCTGAATTAATCGGATCAAATATATATCACGTAACTATTATATATTTACACATATATATAGTACAATATATATATACAGGTTATAATATAGTATATGTTGAATTATAAATATATCGAGATATATATATATTTATATTGACTATGCTCGGATCAAATTTGATCCATGCCCAAATAATATTGTGGGATGAGAACCGTCCCAACCAAATGAAAGATTACAAGAGATAAAATGGTAAAAGGAAGATGTATAATTTAAAAGGCATGGTTACTTTTTTTAAAAAAAAAAAAAAAAAGAGTAAATAAATAAAATGACACCAGTAAGATACACAAAACAAAACTAATAGTAATCAAATCTTTAAATTACAAATCAACAACGTATTTTTAATTGAAAATGAAATAGTGTCTACAATATTAAGGTGTGTTTCTTTTAGGTTGGTGGTTTGAGAAAATTTTGATTTAAATTTAAATTTGATTTAAGATGTGTTTTTTTTTTTTTTTTTTTGTGTATAGGTTTGGTTTTAATTTTAAGTTTTGATATATATTAAATTTATATATTTTTTTTATGTGTGTATTAGTGCGAACTCCGCTATAAAAGAATATTTGAATTCAATATGATTTTATATTGTCTCAAAATTAAATATACTTATATGGTTCAAGCAACAAAATAATTAATATAAATTAGAAAGGTGATTAGATCTAAGAGTGCTACGTGAATTCACAATATTATTAACAATAAATCAAAATTCCAAATTTGTCATAATTTTAATGTTGTTCAATACGTGTATATATAAGAGTATAATGAAAGCAATGAGCGGTCGGAGTTTTGACGGGCCTAGCTTGCAGGGTATTAGGTTCGAACGGGAGTTTATCCGTGCGCACTTTCGGATAGCGGCTGCAGGTTCACATTGTAAAAAAAAAAAAAAAAGAAGAAGAAAAACAACAATAGCAATGATTTTTAATAGTAAAATGTTGAATTTGAATAGTTGTTTGATATGATATAAACAGAGGTTGATGTGATGTTTTGAATGTAAAATAAATTTGTAGTATAATATAAATAAAGAAAATAATTATTTGATATGATATTTTTTTTAAGGAACAAAAAAAATTGAACACTAAAAATTTATGGTAAATTTCACGGTAGAATACAGCCTTAAAATTACTTATAATTGTACTTTTGCTTGTGCATATGCCTATATTACCAAATATTTTCAAAATTGAGACAGGTTCTTGATTATTAATCAAAACTAATGCAAACTAAAAATATAGAATAGATTTGTTGGTTGATTTTCATTTGCAAATAAATAAATAAATTATATATAACTTTAATTTTTAAATGAGACTATCATTTACATCATCTAACATAATATTTAATATCCGTAATACTTTAAAGTTTTATGTAAATAAATCATTTACATCATCTACATAATTATTTTTAAGTAAATCTTAGTATTATAAAAATATACTCAAAAATATTCGCAAAATTTTTTTATTAACTTACAATAATTTAATTGAGGAACATTTTTTTGTTAAAACTGTAATTTGCAAAATTTTCAATAAATAACAATGCCAAATAGGTAAATCAAGATTAAGCAGTGAGACATTCCACGCTCGACGGTTGGATCCCAAATTCAATTTTGGATGGACACATGTGTGCATGTGTTGGGTAGCAAAAACAGTGCAAAATAGGCAATATAAACAATAAATGTTAATACTTAAAAACTATATGCAAATTTAGATAACATTCAACCAAATATTTTTCCTTTTAAACAAAATTTTAATTTAAAATAACTCAACTTCAACAATATTCACTAACGACGCACTTACTAGTCATTTAATTATTTTTTAAAATATTTTTATTTAAAATAAATTGACAAAATATTCGAAAAAAATTATTAATAACAGTTGTAAATAAACTATTTTAGTATGGACGACTCTGGGAACGTACCGCACACGTGATTAGGGAGAGAGAAATGGACGATTAGATTGAGATAGATTAGCATAATCCATCTGGGAAATCGCAGCCATTAAAATAATGGTAGGGCCTATCGAAGAGATCCCCACCGTCCATTGGGCTGTATCAATAAAATACTACATTAAGAATCCCCCAAATGTTTTTAAATTTGATCCTCCTTCAATTCAGTTCAGCCCGTCGGTTTGTATATTCTGCACCGTCAACGCTCCACCGCCGCCTCCTCCTCCACAAACTCCTTTCCCGATACTCGTCTCAATTTCCATACTCCTTTACTGGTTAATTCTTCAACCAGCAGTTCCCATGTCGGTGAGTGGAAATTTATTTATTTTTTGTTCTGGTTGCGCATGTTTGTGTATGTTTGGTTTGTGGATGTTAAGTAGGGTTCCGGATTTTACTGGTTTTTTTTTTTTTTTGGTTTGTGATGTTCGATTTCGTCGTGTATAAGGCGCTGGCTCTGTAGATTGAGGAGTAGTTCTGATTGCAAGTGAATAGCGGAGATGGAGCACGATTTGAAAGAAATATTGATCTGCACGTAGTGGCTTACTAGTTTGGTTGCTCGATTCACTTGAGCATGCTGTGTTGTTGCTTTTCTTTGATTTGATTGCCATTAATTGCGTTATTGAGACGAGTCTAGGGTTCACGTGAAGGGTAAAGTGAGAGTATCCTAATTGAAGTGACCAAGGCATTCACATCTACTAGGACCATTCATTAGCTTGTGAACTGAACTGAATGCTCATTTCTTCGCTTCCTAGTCGTTTTTGACCAAAGGAGAAAGTTCAGTAGTACTATGCAACTAGGGATCAGTTTGGGAGCCAAGGAAATCGAGTCTATTTTACATCTGTCTTTGGGACTCGGAAACCTTAGATTAAAAGAATTCGATGCTTATTTCTGGTAAATAAATCTAAAATATAGATTTCTTTATCTCCATTTCGATAAAATAAATAAATAAAAATTGGACAACACGTTCCTAGTCTTGTTGTAGTATTTGGTCAATCTTAAGGGGATTGGGTAGCTGAGTGAAGAAAGCAGAATAACTTTACCTTGCATGATTTGATGTGTAGTTCACTCAAATGTAAACTTTATATTTTTTAATATGTATTGATTTAAAAATTACTCTTTGGCATGGTAGGGCTAGGATTGTGTTTAAGCAAAACTGTAAAATTTTGGATTTTCTTAAATTTTTATAATGTATAACAATGAAATTAATCTGATCTTGTTATTACAAGACGATGCTATCTATGGAAGGGAGGTTGAGCTCCACATAATCTTATTTAAAAGCTCAAGTTGGGATGGAGTGTGGTTGCACCCCCTAGACATGCTCATTTGAGAGACTGATTTTACTTTTTGCTTTGTATGTTGGCTGGTTAAGTATCATCATGTTAATTGCAATTTCAGTTGTCTTTCAACAATTGTAAATTCATGTTTCTCTCGGTGAATAACAGTTGTATGTCTTTTGCATCACTCATATTGTGTTTGAGAACTAAGGTTAAGTCAAATTAGCAATGGCATAAATCAAGTACTTGTGTCAAACATACATTAGATCTAAATTACGAGATCGGTTTTCTGATTGGTAAGTCAGTGGTGCTACATGTAATATGATGTGTGCATGACCTGAATGATGTGGAGTTCTCTCTATGAATGTCTTTAATTGTGAAGTGCATATAATGTGTGTTCATAGTGTATTCTTATATTTTTAAGACCCTGGTTAGGTAGTCGTTTCTTGAGAAAGTAAGCCTAACTACTTGTATGGATGTTGTAGACAAGAACTGTCAAAGTTTGCAATCTCTCTTTGGGGGCATCTGAACGCGATGTGAAAGAATTCTTCTCATTTTCTGGTGACATTGAATATGTTGAGATGCGAAGGTTTGTCGGTGTTTACACTAATACATTATATACATATAAGATATATACCTATCCATACATATATATGTTCAGATATCCGTATTCCGTATTCATATTTGTATGTGCGTGCATGTATAATATATTTCAGCATGCTTTCAATGTGTATTTAGTGATACTGAACGATCCCAAGTTGCATATGTCACCTTCAAAGACGACCAGGGGGCTGAGACAGCAGTTCTTCTTTCGGTGATTCTCTCTCTCTCTCTCTCTCTCTCTATAAATAAGAAACAAATCCAACTCTATAATTTGGATACAATGAAACTACGGTTAATATTTGTAGTTGAACTTCAACAATGAGCATTTCATCACCTGTGACCTAGTTATTCATTGCATGACTTATTAACTTTATCGTTGTTACTCTGTAGCCCAATCCTTGTATCAGTGTATAGTAATTTTATTCTATTTTTTCACATCTTAAAAGGTACCATCGAAGGATGATTTATACCATCTACTTTCATTTTACCCTATAAACTTCCCGACCAGATAACCATTGATTTCTAATCCATCTTCCCTTATTCCGTTACAGGGTGCAACAATTGTAGACATGACTGTGGACATAACTCTGGACCCCGAGTACAAGCTTCCTGCCGCTGCTGCTACACCGGACACGGTAACAACTGACAAGTTCTTCAAATAAATTCCTGTGTTTTCTCGTTAATTACGGTGAGATATTAATGTAAATCATGCCCAAAAATCTAGCAGCCATCAGATAAAAAAACTGTCGGGGGTGAATCCGCCTTCCAAAAGGCAGAGGATGTCGTAAGCAGCATGCTTGCAAAGGGCTTCATCTTAGGTAAAGACGCTGTTAACAAGGCAAAGTCCTTTGACGAGAAGCACCAATTTACATCAACTGCGACTGCTAAAGTTGCGTCATTCGACAAAAAAATTGGACTCAGCGAGAAGATATCTGCCGGCACTTCCCTCGTGAATGACAAAGTGCGTGAAGTGGATGGAAAACTTCAAGTTTCAGAGAAAGCAAAGTCGGCATTTGCTGCTGCCGAGCACACGGTTAGCAGCGCCGGATCTGCAATCATGAAGAACAGGTATATCCTCACGGGAACTTCATGGGTGGCAGGTGCTTTTAGTCGTGTCACAAAGGCAGCCGGAGAGGTCGGCCAGAAGACAAAGGACAAAGTTGGAATGGCCGAAGATGAGCAGAGAAGAAAAATGGTGGATGACTATGCCCAAGTTCACTTATCCGACTCTTCAAAAGAGACGGAGTCGAAAGGGCAGCAGTCTTCCAAGCCTGCCCCTGCGCAGGGGCTAATTCTCTGATTCATCGTCTCAGGTATATATATATATATATATATATGCTATTTCAAAGATGTTCATGTCCTTCCTTCCTTATATATATGCACTAGTTTTTTTCTGATTTGTATGGCTATCAAAGTTTAGTATGTCTTGGCTGGTATGTTTATTTCTCCATAATATAGATGTAGACATAAATATGTCTTGGTCGTGGTTGAAATTGAAATCATAAACAGTGATATATGTTGTTGAATAAACGGTTTGTTGATTCTTCTTCAGCTCTGAGGTAGTTTGATTGATACTATAAGGTTTTTATTTGAGGTGCAGTCATCTTTGTGCATGGGAGGTTTTAGCTGTGTTCTTAATATATATATAAAAAAATCACATTAGATGTTTAGAATTTGTTTAGTTTTAATTTGAATTTCGATTTAAATAATATAACAAAAAAAAAAAAACTTTCTCAGTTAAATTTACTCAATTTTTTTTTTTTTTTTTTATGTTTATCAGTTAAATTTGTTTTATTACTAATTTTGACTAAATAAAAATATGAACATTCAATTATTATCGTTTATTTAGTATTTATTTTTAATAAATCTAATTCTCATTAAAATTACTCACATCCTTCGTGAAAAAAAAAAAAGAAGAAAAATTCACAACTGTGCTAAAATTATAAGGCGAAGGTATATTTTTACTAAAAAATCCAAACTAAGAACCAAAAAATTGAGTAGTATACATTCTAGTTTGAGGTTATGACCGGATCCAAATAATGCATATGTGAGTGTGCGCCGGGTATAATTAATTTTTACTATTTAAAGTTTATATTATAAAAAATATATATTTTTATAAAATATTAAATTAAATATTATTTTATTAATTTTAGACAAAAAAAAAGCGTATTTAAATATTTAAATAAAAAAACCTCTATAACATATCTGTCTCGCTCACTACTAGATTTGTCCAAACTGTTTATAATATAATAATAATATTATTTATTTATTTATATCATTAATAATTATTAATATTAATTTTATTTTATAAAAATTTAATAATATAAGTAAAAGTTATAATTATAAACATATTATTATCATTATTATAAATACAGAATTTACCCTAATCAGTAATCAGTACATTTACACATCCAGACGCCGCAGCCCGCACAATTCGCAGCAGCTTCACTCTTTCTTTTCTTTCACAATTCTTTAATTTCTTCCTTCCTAAGTTCCTCCTCGTAGACCGTCGGTTCAAACCGAAAACCGCCGGTTCGCGGTTTGAGAAAATCACAGACCGAATTCGAACTGTGAGAATGACGGTTTCGGTTCGGTCCGTGCGGTTTTGATTTGAACCGAATGGACAAGTCGACTCACTACTTCTTCTCCCCGTTGCAGCTGTCGCCGGTGAGATTTAACTATTTAACGGTTTTTTTTGCCTTCGATACTTGCTGCTGCTGCCGCCGCCGCCGGTGGTTTCAGAATTGGATCGACCAAACAAGATTTTACTTAGATTTTGAGCTTCAATAATGAAGGGGTACGCTACTTCCGATTTGGTTTCCTTTTCTTCCTCTCTGTAAAATTTATGACGTTTTCACTGTCTTCTTCCGATTTATGAAATTCGTGCTAATTTGTTAGCCTTTTCTTGGTGGGGATAGAGATAATTATTTAATTAATTATCTTGAAATGATGCTCATCTATTGAATTTCAATTCTCTATCGACTGGAACTTGTTCGATGATTTGTCAGTTTTTTGTATTTGAAATATTGTTGAATGAACAATTAGGTTTCATTACAAATCCACGCCCTAGCACTGGATGTGATGATAAAATCGTGATAGAGATCAATATTGACATACATATCCATCTACTTACTGCCTCAATTGACAATACATTGATTTTCTCGTGATTTGTAAATTTGTCCTCCATTTGATTGATATCTGGAAAGAGGAGCATAATTTGGGGTGATTGGTCTTCTGCCTTGTTATGTTGCATTGGATTCGATCCCTTGTTCGAGCCTTCTAGTTCACTACAAGTCTTTGACAAGGTTCTTATGTCTATGGAAGTTGGAATTGAGATCTTTCGATTTTTGCAAGAATTAAATTCCAATATTCCATAATCCATACATCAATCATTGTAGAGTTTCTTTTGATTCATCTATTTCGGTTTCCATGATTTTTTGTTGTCATGGTACAGTTTGATTATTGTTTTCATCATCAATTCATCACGATTATGAAAAGATAGCACTAGATATATAGAATGTGTCTACTAGAGGCTTTTTAAGTTAATTTTGATATAGACAGTTCTTTAATGTTGAACTAAACTTGATATGACAGCATAAATACTATTGCTTGATCATGTAGCTGTTGGCCCCGGGAGAAGGAATCTCTCTTTAATTTTTCATTATCTATCCTAGGCTCGAGTTCGACTGGGAAGGGTCGCCACGGTTTGCACCCCATAAGGTCATAAGTTCGCCCACCACATCAACTCGATGATCCACATTATTATTTATTTTTATTATTTTACTTAGTTAATAGTTTCAAAGTTGAATACAATAATGTTCATTTTGGAACATCTTAATTTGTTAATTGTAGTCCTTTAATTTCTGCTGCTACTTGAATTCTAAATTCATCTATTGAAATTTTCTCCGTCCACTTTTCTTCTCTTGAATTGATTTTGCTGATAGAATTCTTGACAGGTGTTTGCTGAACTCAGTTCGATTGCTGGAATTACCAGCGGACATTCCATAGCTAAGAATTCACTTACTGCGTCATTCTATAAAAATATCAGTGTTTTGTTCAGGTCAGATTTGGAAATGGTTCTTCATCCATTTCAAGCGCAGATTGTAGTGATGTTTCTTACGATTTTTGGCTCTTCCTATGTAAGTGGGTTATCGAAACTTTTGCTTACTTGACCATGGAGATTTTTGTGCAAATCTAGAGCATAAACCATTATTTAGCTGTTTCTTGCATCATTTCATTTAGTTCTGTAACATATTTTCAGATGTAATGTTATGCACCAACGATTTTGTTGCAATAGCTGTAAGTTTAGTGTCTGGTATTTGGTTAATTTGCATCTCAAATTGAATAGATTTTCTTCAGAGGGTTTCTAGGACTCTTGAATTTATGGAACTTATCTTTCCAATACAAATTCAAACTTGAACGTTAAGTATCATTTCAATTTTTTACTCCTTTACATTCATACCAAATGGCTGAAGTTGTTTTTATTGCGTTCAGATATAATTTTGCTGCTAAACTGAACAGGATTTCTTGATTTGGCATAAAGGATTGCAGCTTTGTCGATTGATGTAATTGAATGCAAACATGATGGTTCATTCTAAGTTATAATGTTAGTTGATTATTGAACTTAAATGTGTATGTAGAACATACACAAAAAAGGTCAATTTTTTCACAAGTTTAGTTTAGGTGGACTGCATTGAAATTCTTTTGTTTAGGATACGGGATTTTGCTGACCTTCTTCTGCCTCATGCAGGGCCGAGCAGGTTTTGTGGAGAAATACATTTCGCAGAGTTATTTTGAGAAATATGATAGTTTGATAGATTCAAAATTCAGTCAGTTTATAGCAGAGGAAATCCCACTTGGCCTGTGCATTGTGCGCAGAGATGGAAACTGCATTACACCTACATTGTCTACTCTACATCGAGATGTCATCGGTGAAGGTTCTCATCGACGATTATCATCTTCGATCACCTTTAAGTTTCAGCCCAAGGTCGAGCCTGATCTGACTGGTCAATCTTGTAAACTTATTGTCATTGAAAGACTACCCTCTGGTGTGTTTGCAGATCCGTTCGAGCTTCAGCATCTTATCCAGCGTGGCGGTATATAGTTATTGCAATCTTAACTTACTTTTTCCCTTGATTCTTGTAAGACAAGGTTTATTAGCTTGTGGTCTTTTTCTTGCAGTGTTTGCCGATGCAGCTGTCTTTGGCGACACAAATTTAGAGCTACCCTCTTTCCGGTCAAATCAATCTGTTGTGGAAATACACATGAACATTGCCTCTAAAGAATCCCAATTGGGACTTAATCTCGAAGTTCCTTTGCACGCACGGTATCAAGTAAGAAATACAAGCATAGCTTAAAGTTTCAATATAAGTAGTATCCGTAAACTTGCACTTTCGCGGACGGATTTTTGATAAATGATTGCCAACAATGTGTTCAAGAGCTATATTACTGTATCTGGAAAATTTTGAAAATAGTAAAAAGTTAACTTGATAAGATACTTTGTGCAAAAAAATTCTTTCGAAACATTACTGCTGAATAACAGTACTAAAAGTTCTAAAAGTGTTTATGTAAAGAGAGTGGTCGGCCAAGTTAAATTTTAAACTTCTATGAAACTTGATATGTTTTAATATGTATTTTTAATTTATTGGGGACTCCCGTATGTTAAAATAATAATAATGATTCGCATTTCTAATAGCTTAAACTTTTAGGTGAGACGACCATAATAATTTATAAATGTGTAAGTAATTAATGATACACGAATCCCTAATGGTTTAAGTTTTTAGGTGGAACGGTTATTCAGATCATCTAAGATGATCACTTCGAATACAATTTTTTTTTTCTATTTTTACAAATACATAAATTTTATACATTAATTTTATTTCTAGAAAGTTCTGCAGTGTGATGTGTTCGTATTTTTACAAGTTGAGTAGTCGAGTAGCTCGACTATTTACACCTCACCTCCGGTATTGTATTAGTAGGCATTATATACAAAAGCATGTTCTTGATTTCTACTTGCCATTTTTTCGACCTGAAAATTTCTGAACTTCTCGATTCTCCTGATCAACAGCCATTGGGAGACGAAGGGTATTCGAGGGTTGAGTTTGGGAAACCCGATTGGGTTATGTGTTGCAGCCCCGAAGGTAATGTGAGTTGCGCCTTAATGCTTGCAGACCGTATTTCAGAGAGTCGGGTTACATGGGAGATACCGTGCGGGATGAAAAAACATGTGGGAGTTGTGTCTAGTGTTACTTTTGGGTTTGCTATTATGGCTGCCTTGCTTATCATACTGGCTTCTGTTTGCTATTCAGACAACAACAATTTCTTGCTCTCGCAAGATTGATTCGATTATATATTATTTTTTTTTTTTTTTTTTTTTTTTTTTTTTTTTTAAGGCATTCTTTTTGTAACTTATGTTCTTTGTTTGATGATTTGCTAAATAAGGTTTTGTTATGTTGTATTTTTAATGTGGAATTTAGTAGCTGGTATTTTAACGGCAGATAGTGTAAATAAATACTCCTTCCATTTGGGCTATTTATACTATAATATTAAGGCATGAAGAGTTATATATATATATATATATATTTTTTGTTTAATTGTTTTACATAATTCAATAGTCATTTTTATGGTTTAGTTTATTTATGTCATTATTTAGTATATATATTTGTTGACGTTTTTTTTAAAAAAATATATATATTCTTAGGCGGAGACTGCTGACAACACACAGCAACACACGGTATTTATTACCCAGCAGCAATCGTCTGCATTCATATAATACAAATACAATACAGCACACCACTAACAATACATGTTATATAGTCTTATACAACACAAATACTAATTAATTTCAACGCACTACTAACTATTATACAACATGCTATAGTTATGAAGCAACATCACCTGTCATTATTATATATAATATGTTATGTATAATAAAATTGTATGATGTTTATATATATCATGGGTTTTAATTTGAACGATTCAGCACCCTGTCCACGGAATATCACATGCAATATTATATTAAATTATTATTTAAAATTACAGTACAATCTAAATACATACACATCAAATGAGGGTCATTTTAGATTAAGCCTCTAATTAAGAACAAAAAATATGTGTCCATGTTGGATTGGTTAGGGCTTATTACATAATTCATCACTCAATTATTGCAACTGTATTATTGTTTTATTTGTTGTCATCTTTAGATCTTATCCACTAATATAATCAAACACTCTTTTTTACTTCTCTATTGTTTCCTTTCAATCATTCTAATTTATAATGCCCTGTTGGTGCATTCATCTCTTGACAGGTTTACTATCTCAATTCAATCATAGGCTATTTTATTTATATATATATATATATATGTATAAATTGAAATGATTAGGGTGGGGTGTTCAATTATAATGCAATATAGACTATTGTTATGTGTTATTAGTAGTTCATATAATATATATTATTGTCAATTTATATTTTATGATCTATCAATTTATATTTGATATATTGTCGACACAATTAACTCTGTAACTGCCAGCTATGTATGATAAGTTGGTTATATATAGACTATAGCTGTATTGTTGATCAAGAAAAGGAGAGGGAAGGTAAATATATTTATATTGATGCATTTATGTTTAATTTAATGACCAATAATATTTGTTAACTAATAGTACACACATACATACAATTAAATTGATAATATTATACGTTTAGCCACGATCTTGAGCTTTCAATATAACATCCAATGAAGCAAATATTATATAGTAAAATATTTAAACATATAAACGAAAATAATAAATAATAATAATAATTATCAATATTACAAACGTTTAAATTTAGTTTAGTTACACATAGCACGAGTTTACCATTTGTTGTTATTATTATTATTATTTTGAAGGTGTAGTTTTCAATTAAATTAAGGGCCATTATTATTATTATTTTCTTTGGAGTGGAGTGATTGACTTAATAAAATATTCTCAATGGGCAAAGTGCAAAATACTCAAAAAGGACCTGCAACCGTTTCACGAGACGTCATAATAACGGTCCGATTCCAGCTGTCTCCCGTTTTTATAGTATCAATTAATTATCTCATTTATTTTTTATAACTAATATAGAAAAATAAAATTTTAAATATTACTACTATTTCATTTATTTTAAATAAGTTTAAAATTAAAATATTTCATTCGAGGTTTATTGATTTTACAGAAACAAATTACACGTGTAATTAATTTCCCAAGTCGCAAACATTTTCCATTTTCAATTTCTAAAAAAAGACAAAAAATGACAGCGATGATTCGAGTCACGGGAAATTTCTTCTTTTTATTTTATTTTATTTTATAATTAAAATAAATACAAAATTAAAAAAAGTATGTACAAAGACAAATCCTAAGCACGTACCATTTTCCGGTGGCGCCGCCGCAGTTTCGCCGCCGCGGAGTGCTTCAAGCTCCTCACAGCCAAAATATCTCCAATTTTCACATTGTTCAAAGCACTACTGTGCTCTGAATCTGGTTGAATTAGAAACAAATCATAATTCCGATTCAACAATTTCTTCAACAGAATTGAAGTGGACGAGAAGGTTCTCGAACAACAGAGAGACAAGTACCTGTAGAACCGGAAATCGTCGTCCTGAATCCGCTGAATTGCGCCATATCTGAAGAAATTAAGAACAAAATTAATATAATCAAAGCATCGAAGGCAGATCAGAGATAGCAGAGGAGAGGAATTTAGTTACCGTATTGCGAGGGATGGTGCGAAGAGAGGTAGAGGATGAGGAAGCAGAAGAGAGTGAGGAAAGGTATAATGTGAAGGTAAACAGCGGTTTGAGGCGCTGTAATCGCCTTCTCCTTCTTCTTATGATCCTCTTCTCCGCCATGGAATTGAAGAAGCTCGTCGTCTTTCACTGGGGAGCCTAGAGATTGTCTCTGCATATTTTCTCCTTCTACTGTGTGTATGTGTGTGAGAGAGACGAAATGTTTCGTTTGTTTTGAATGTGGTTACAGTGTATAATACACTTTGTATATATATATATATATTTAGGGTATAGTGCTTGTAACTATTTGAGTTGAAAATATTTATTATAATTTTATATAATATAATATAGTAATTTTTTGTTTAATAAAAACTAAAATTAAAATTCAGTTTTAATCATATATTGTTCTCTCTCTCTCTCTTTTTTTTTTTTTTTTTTTTTTTATATTTATACATACATTAATACAATATACTTAATATAATATATACACTCATCTATCTATAGAAAAAACTAAATAATTTAATATATATATATATTATACTAACAACAAAAACATATTCATAAAAAAATACAAAATGAACACACTTTTCATACAATATAAAATATTAATTTTCATATATTATGATATAACTTTTTTTTTATACCAGCATAAAAAAATATATTTATCCAAAAATTCAAAATAAGACACATTTTATTTAAAACAAATATACATACATGAATTAAAATATTATACATACATGAATCTATATAATATTATATATATATATATATACATCTTACGTGGGTTAGCTTAAGGCTTAAGGCTTATAAAGTTTCGAAATTTTAATTGATCACGTCATTAATTGATAAATGTATTTTTTTATATTAAATCTAATAAATCTTGTTAATAATATAAAAAAAATAATTTTTATAAATAAATAAAAAATATATTATATATTTTCATAAAAAAAAAAAAAAAAAAAAAAAAACAAAGAATGAACAACCCTATAATTTCTTTTCACATATATACAAATTGTTTTCTAAATATTATATGTAAATTTTTATAGTACTGTGTGTTAATCTGATAGTGGGCTAATAGGCCCAATTCTTATATGGGTCCCACACATCCACGTGTCACTTTTTTTTTACCAGATCGGCCCAGCCCAATTAAACATAAACTGTATGCTCAAATAAATTCAGTTCGAAAACTTTTTCAATGCATAATCATTTTTTTTTTATTATCAATTTTAATTTATAAAATGTTTATAGAAATTAAGAAAATGACTTGTTTCAGAAAGGTGAGAACGGGCAGATCCAGACCGCTCGTTAAAGGTCAAATTCAATCAACGGTGTAGATTAAGCTTTGTGGTGGAAGCGTGGAATACTGTCAAAATGGACTTGGAGCAGAAGTTTCTCGCATCTTCAAATGCCTTGCGATAAACGAAACGAATACGGAATTTGGCTGTGCAATTGCTATTACATCTCGATCGGCGGGGACGGAGGTTTGAGTTATCAGGTTTGGTGAAAATGGTGCTGTGGGAGATCACATTGGGGACGGCGTACTTTTTGGGTCTGAAACGAACCTACAAACTTGCGCTTAAAATCCAGCGGAGGCTCATCACCCCGAAGCATCCCAAAATTCGTCAATTTGTTCAAAGGTATTTCTTATTGTTGGTCAATTTAATTGGTTAAATTTGTGTATTTATTATTTACTTGTGTTTTCGTTCGGCTGTGATCTTCTATGCGGTTAATCGGCGGTGTAATTTTCGTGATGCGATTGTTTTTGTGGTAGCGATCGTTGAATTTGTGCATATTTGTAAGTTGTAGTCTATCTTACATTTCTCTACTTGATTGCTTGATTGTTAGACATGTATCAGTTTCGAAGATTATATTTATCTATTCATTCGAGTGAAGCCGGAAGTAAATGGCATTGAGCATTTGACAAATTCTATGAAATCATAAATTAATTTTCCCTTCCTTATTCGTTTTTAAGGTATTGAAGGATAGTAATTCTCTGTATAATTGGCACCTGATAGGATAAAATGTTCAACGCGATATTGGTACCGATGCCATTTGTATGAACTTTCAAATCCATAAAATTTTGAACTAAGTTTAGTTATATAGTTTATGCAATTGGTGGTGTTTGCTATTTGAAAGATTCTTCTCTTTTCTGTTAACTTGTCTGTCCATAGACAGAGTGCATCATTTTACTAGTTTAGGCAGCAATAGGTTGTAGGAGTTAATTTCAGATTCACTCTGATTGAAAATATCTCATAAGTTTTAATAAGAAGTTAAGAACAATACTATTGTGGGATTCATATGTAGAATTTGGCGTTACGGCTCAATGATAGATGGGTTAGTTTAAAAGAACTTCCAAATCGAGATACCCTTGATTCATAGGAAGATTGTCTTTCATTTGTCTGGGCATTTTCATTTCTTTCAACTTAGTTCTTAACTTTATCTGGCAAGTGTTCTCGCAAATTTAATAAATCATTTAGAAATTAGCCACGGATAAGTGGACTTTCTGATCAACTTCAGCGATCAAGGCATGAATCTAACCTTCATGTTTCTGACTGTCATGTTTTCGTCCTGTGTTTTCTGCTCCTAAGTGTATGCAGAGTGAAACTTTAATGGTTCATAACTGAACTCCATTGAAAATAACCGTTTGGATTAGTGCTTGTGAAAATACTGTTGCAACTGCTTCCAGTGTAGGCTCTATTAGTACATCATATTTCGCTATTCCTTGTGATTAGTTAACCAGCTGCTCCAGAACGGCAGATCCCAGAGTTGAAATGATGATTAAATATATATAGTTAGTGGTATATAACCTTTGAACAATAGGTTTCACATGTGTGAATGTGTGGTAAATTTTGAGGAGTCAATGAACCTTTAGACCATACTGTATTCGCCGACCTCACAAATTACAGATCTGAAGTGATCTTTATTGTGTCTGTTATCCATTGGTGCCTCTTCTTGAGCTGTCAATAATCATTATTTCCTTTTTCAATTCAGGACAATAGTTAGCCATTGGGGTTGGAGGGCTTCAATTTTTTCTGTTAGTTGTGCACTAAAAACTAGTACTAAATAGTACTGTTCTTACTGAATCTAACAAAAAAACTGAATGCTTTTATTGTTTGTTGGCCATCTATCCGATAGATTGATTAATTCATCTGCTTCTACTTCTCCAAACCTCTTCTCACCTCAACTGTGCAACAACTCATAATGCTTTTGATATTTCATATAAACAAAAATGTTGTTGGTAGTAAGATAAAAAGACACGTTCTTCATAGTCCCATTGCCTAGATTACAGTAATTTGGGTATTCCACAATTGTAAATTCATATGTATGATCGGAAAATCTACTACAGGATTCTTGTGCTCAATTGCTCATTGCAATCCTTGGGCCTTCTACAATTGTAAATTTAAGCATTATTTTTCTTTGAACTCCAGTTTTTATCCTTTGTGGCTATGCTGTTAGATCCTATCCGGTTAAGCTCATTATCCGCTTTCAAAATTGTTTATGCTTAACATTTATATACAATTGCTATATCCACAATGCTAATTACGCTAACCTGCTATTCAGACGAACTCGAAATATATTTGATGTGGCTCTCAAAGTTCATCTCAAGATACAAGAACGGGATATTGAAGTTGGTCGAAACCTTGGCAACAGAATCCTAAGATGGCTCGACAGAATGAAACCTGCAGCTAAGATCAGAGGGCCGCCTCCCTCCTACACTAAAGAAAACACCAAAATGATAAATCAGTCCAAAAACTCTTCACTTCTGAACAATCAGGGTGGCTCTTCAAAATACGATGCAAAAAATGCCGACAAGCAATCGGATAGACGGCTGTTTGTTGCTACACGAGATGTCTGGCCCAAATCCCTTCCCACAATTGCCAGGATGATGCAGTCGACTAGGACTTCTGGACATAATATACATTTTAGGCAATTCAGCAGTGGTGGCACTGAGTTTTTCAATGTGAAACACGGGAAATTCGGGGAAGTGACTAGGAATGACATAAGGCAGTGGAGTCTGCATAACTAATCCAACCAATGGTTTCCGGGTTCTTCTCTCATATGCCATAGTGAATATGCAATTTTTGAGAATTTGAGTTTAAAGTAAATCCTGAATTTAGAAAATCGGGCATACCTGGTGAACTTAGGCCACGGAGACTGCCCCCGTTCTTGCCTACGCTGACAGAAGTTTTCGTTCTTCCTAACAGGTAACATCTCTTTGTTTCTGTTCAAAGTACTCTAAATTGATAACTCCTGTGCTCCCGAAATTTATGTTGCTTTTGTTATTGAGATTTAAATGTTAGAGGAATCATCTTCTTGGAGTTGAATCAACTTTTGCGGATTGAAGGCGAATATCGACTGCCCACCTCACAATAATCATAGAAAAACTTGTTCTAAAGCTTCCTCTAGTGTATGTAGTCGAATATTTCTTGTGTCTTTTTGAGGAATGACCGGTCATGTTTCTTGTTACATGAGTTTAGATGCAAAATTTGTGAACTGTGTTGTATCAAGGATTTGTTCGTATGAACGGAAAATGGGTAAAAGGTATTCAATACTATGACTATGAAGTCTTCCCATATATCCAATATGACTTCTTATGTATAAGCTTGCTTGTCGGGCTGTGTCCCAACGCACAATTGTCCTTGAATGAGAAACATCGATCCCCATGGGAGGATAAAATCTTATTTCGTCTTCTTAGATACATGTCAAATGTAAGATCTAAAAAGCGAATAATGAGTGTGTAGAATGCCGAGTCATGTGGCCAATAAATACAAGAAATCTTTGTTCTTGACGCCATATTCGAACCTTTATTACTATGTATCTAACGAGATTGCAGGTAAATTATTTGAGTATGGATCCTCCCAATTCACTTGAGAGAGTTGGCAACATCGATCACAAACCGATACTTGACATCCTTCTTTATCATCCTCTCAAGGGCCTCATTCGAATACTGAATCGGGATGAGTTCTATCTGAGGATAAATCTTGTGGGCAGCGCAGAAATCCAACATTTCTTGCGTCTGCTTCGTTCCTCCTGTTAAACTACCAGCGATCATCCGTGCATCTGCAAGAAATTATTCAGACTTTCATCAACTGCGAAAGCAAAGGTAAATAACATATAACCGTTGTTCGCATTCATACTTAGATTAATGCTTCCTGGATTAAACTTCACTTCACTGGGGAACCCTACCAGAACAAGAACACCGGTAGTCTTCAACAGGGATAGGTATAAATCAAACGAGGTGTCTCCAGAAGCCGTGTTTATGATGAAGTCGAATGATCTTTCCAAGCCCTGCATCAGGAACATATCCCAAAGTTAGAAATAAAGATCTGTTCTTTCAACAAATAAAAGCTTGGTAAGAATTCTTACCGACATCTCCTTGTCATCGGAAGCGATGACAAAGTTATCCGCCCCAAGATGACTCAAAGCTTCTTCCCTCTTAGACACGCTCGTGCTGAAAACTGTTACTTTGAGTCCAAAGGCCTTACCAAACTTCACGGCCAAATGGCCGAGCCCCCCTAGTCCGATGACCCCTAGAGATTTTCCGGAATGTTGATTCATGTTATGTCTTAACATGGGAGTATAGACCGTGATCCCTGCGCAGAGTAGCGGCGCGGCCAACTCTAGAGGGTAATTCTCGGGTATCCTATAGCAGTACCTATACACATATCATCGAATAAATTGTGGATGATCATATACTGTAGAATAAGTTACTAACATCGTTGCAAAGGTAAAAATTCGATCTAGCTATTAAAATCCCGACTAAACTAAATCAACAGTAAGTCAATAGCCGTGTACCTTTGATGAACCACGATGTGGCTCGAATATCCTCCCTTAGTTATGGTACCGTCATAGTCCACACCATCGAATGTGAATATGGATCCCTTGGAGCAATGGACTTCTAAGTGATCGTTGCAATATTCGCATTCCTGGCAAGAATTTACGTATGTCCCGACTCCAACATGGTCGCCAACTTTGTATCTTTCCACATTTGATCCGATCTTTGTGACAGTCCCAACAATCTCATGTCTATAGAGTAAAATGTATATCAGTCTCACAATCTCTGTTAAAAACTACGACTGAAATCTAATCGCCATACCCGGGCACCAATGGATATTTCGAATGCCCTGATTTGTTCCTGGTCCAAGCAACATCGGCGTAACAAACTCCACAGTATAATATTTTCAGCGAAACATCGTCGCTGCCAACAGACCTGTGCAGAAAGAATCACAAGATTCAATTCTATACATATTCAAATGCACTCTTGAAACTAATCTATCTTCAACACAATAAGTTCTTTAACATTACACCTTCTTGCACAACCACACAATTTGAGTAAACATCGACACCAAGCCTAACTATTCAAGAGATGAAAAAGTATCCGAGAGATGGAAATCACAACCAACAAAACACGAAGATCGATTCTTGTAGCAACTCATCAAGGAATCAAAAGTAAGAAATATTGATCAAGATCAAATACAGGTTGCACAAGCCCATAAACTTTAGTAAAGCTAAGGCCCCGTTTGGTTGGAGGGATTTGGCTTTAAGGTATTTCGAATTACTCCTTTAAATCCATCAGTTTCGATCGGCAATGATGTAGATTTCCAAAATCCATCATCTTTAATATTTCACATACTCTTTATACTGTGCCATTTTAATTACTTTACACAGCCAAACAATAGATTTTAATTATGAAAAGTTCTAAATCTGAAGTAAATCAAATCCATTCATTTAAAATACTATCTTAAAACCAAATCCATTGAATCAAACAGGACCTAAGGTTATTTGAACTCTATATTATTAGACAGGGTTCGTCGAAAAACCATAACCACAACAATTCTACATCAGTAGTACTCTATTCATGGATCAACAATTCAATTTCACTATTATATATATATATACACGAATGCTCTTGATCACAGAAGAATCTCTAACTAGTCTACATCGATCATCATTAATCCTATGCATATTACACAATTGATCATCTAAGCTTCTATAATCAAATAAAATAGTTATGCACAAAAATTAAACCCTAGACGACAATACCAACAAGCCAAACTTTTGAAATTGCACAGATTCTAAATAAAACCTAATTTGTATTCATTAATCTAGCTAGCTAGCACCGAAATTGGAAGAAGACACAGAAAATATGCGTAACTGGAGGTCCAAATCCAATCACAAAAAATCGGTGGATCGACGAAATAGATTAAATCGATGGAGAATGGATATGGATATGGAAATTCACCTGCGATTGAATTTGTAAGGCGAGAGGAATCCGGAAGGATCCCTGGCAGCCCATCCAAGGCATTCTCCGTCTTCGCTGCTCATTATTGTTTATGTTTGTGTGGAAGAACTAATGACAGATATCTGTATATACACACAGCTGTAAGTAACCAGCTGCTGACTTACCAGGGTACCCTTATTTTTTAATGAAATATTTGTGAATACCATTTGGTTACTGTTTTGAAAATAATAAAAAAAATTATTTGATGTAATATTTTATAAAATAAAAAATATTTTTAATATAATTTTTGAACATTTTGAATAGTGCTAAAATATCAAAAAGTATTTAATTTTTTTGATGTAATATTTTATAAAATAAAAAATATTTTTAATGTAATTTTTGAACATTTTGAATAGTGCTAAAATATCAAAAAGTATTTGAAGAAATAAAACTATTTTTAATGATGGGAGAAGGATAGTTCAACAACTAAGGGTATGTTTGTTTGAGGGTTTGGATTTTGGATTTGCATTTTAAAAAATTTTGGAGTAAAAATTTTTAAGTTGTGTTTGTTTGAAAGCTTGAATTAATTGATATTTAAATGTTATAAAAAAATTATGTATAAAATTTAAAAGTAAAATTTGATTTGATTAGTATAAATACAATTAAATATTAAATTTTTGAAAAAAAAATACATATATATATTCATATGAATTAGGTTATAAATTTTATTTTTATTTTTTAAAATTTGGGTCACAATTTTTTTTAAGACCGGACATTAATGGAGGTTTTAGTATAGAGCACGACAAAAGGGTTAAACTAAACGATAGAGAAGTTCATTGTTGTTGATCGGGGTGCTGATTGGACGATGATATCGGAAACCTGTGCAGGTCAGCCATGAGGGCTTGTAGGTCATTCCAACAACTAATCTGAGCTGTTCAAACAATCAGTCCGAGCTGCACCGACCACAACAGGTCTTGACATGCTTCCACCGGAAATTTTTTAAACCCTCACCCAACAATCACTCCTGGGCAAATATATCTTTGCGCAGTTTCTGACTCCTCTCCGTTCGCCGCCAGTTACCGATCCGCATCGTAATCGAGAAGAATAGTACCCAAACCACAAGGTAACATGTTCTCCTATCACTCTGACAAATTTTTTAATCTTCCTGGCATGCCCCGACAAATACTGTACACCAATGTCGTTTTTCAAAATATAGGGGTATAGGGGTAGACTCTTGAGATTTTAAAAAATCAAACCAAACAGTAAATGTACAGTGAAAAATGCTGAAATCCTTCAACCGAACACAGCCTAAGCTAATTTCATAACTTGATATGCTTTATTTCATTACCAAAAGTATTTTCCGGCGTATTTCTTAGAATTTAAAACAAAAATATTTAATTTGAAGTTTATATTAAATAATACTCCCTCCGTCCATTTACAAGGTTTACGTTTGAAGAAAATAAAAGGGGAAGAAGAGGAATGACAGAGCAATGAGGAAGACGATTCTGGAATTTTCTATCTTTTGTAAATTAGGGGTTGAGGAATATATACATGGAGATGGATAGAACCAAAAAACTAATTTACAACAAACTCTGACAGATTCCTAACCAACTACTAATATGTACACACTTGTCAATGTGGTCCTCGTTATCCTTTATCATCTTCCAACACCCTCTCCTCAAGCTGAGCAGGCGAAGCAACTAAGTTCAGCTTGCAGAGAAAGAAGTTTAAGACAGCAGAAGAGACAGATTTTGTAAAAACATCTGCCAATTGTTGAGAAGATGGAATGAAACTAAGACTGATGACTCCTGCAACATGATGATCGCGAATGAAATGGCAATCTATATCAATATGCTTCGTGCGCTCATGATGAACCGGATTTTGCTTCATCTTCAGCGCAGATTGGTTGTCACAGAAAAGGGACACGGGCTGAGGGACAGAAATCTGAATATCACGTAAGATGTAGGTGATCCATAAAATTTCTGAAACAGTCGCAGCCAAGGCACGATACTCGGCCTCAACGGAGGAGCGGGATACAGTTGGCTCTTTCTTTGTCTTCCAGGAAATTAAGGAGGAACCAAGAAATATACCAAACCCCGTAAGAGATTTGCGAGAGTCGAAGCAACAGCAAACGAGTGAGGGTAATTTTAGATTGAGAAGGAAAGAAGAGCTTAAGATGACTGGAACCCCGAAGATAGCGAAGGACATGTTGCGCAGCCCTCCAATGCTGAGTGGTCGGGCATGACATAAACTGGGAAAGCTGTTGAACGGCAAAGCAGAGATCAGGCCGAGTCATGGTAAGGTATAATAGGCGACCAACAACACGGCGATACAATGTAGGCTTGTCGAAAGCAGCGCCATCATGTTGGAGCTTGCAGCCGGAGGCCAATGGAGTAGCACAAGGAGATGCATCGCTGAGACCTGCGTCATGGAGGATGTCTGCAATAAACCTATGTTGTGAGACAAGGAAACCAGAGGAAGATGATTCAATCTGAATACCAAGAAAATAATCTGCACTGCCAACATCTTTAATTGTGAACTCCCTATCAAGGTATGCCTTGACACGAAAAATGGTTGGAAGATCAGTCCCTGTCAGCAAAACATCATCCACATAAACCAGAAGGGTAGTGTAGGTGGAGCCAGATGCCATAAAGAAGAAGCATGTGTCATGTGTAGATTTCTGAAAGCCAAAATGAAGAAATTTGCCTGAAAGCTCTTTGTACCATTGACGAGGTGCCTGTCGCAGACCATAAATTGATTTTCGTAGCTTGCATACAAGGCCGGATGGAACCTGGCTGCCTGATGGGGGGACCATATACAACTCTTCTTCAAGGCGGCCATGAAGGATGGCATTATTCACATCGAGTTGATGGACTGGCCAGCCTTTGGCAGCAGCAACGGCCAGCAGGAGACGCACAGTGACAGGTTTGGCCACTGGAGCATATGATTCTGTAAAGTCACGCCGCAGCATTTGGAGAAAACCTTTGGCAACCAGACGTGCCTTATATTTGTGGATTGAACCATCAGTATTTCTTTTGATGCGAAAGATCCACTTGCAGACAATTGGTTTGGTGCCGGGAGGTAAAGCAGACAACTCCCATGTGCTATTGGATTCCAAGGCTTGTAATTTAGCAGCGACAACAGCCCTCCAATAAGGATCCTTCATAGCATGTGCAAAAGATACTGGTTCCTGCTCACAGATAGTACATGCATGATGCCATAAATGTGCCGAATGGGTAGAAAGAATGTAGTCCTTGTGCCAAACTGGCTTGTAGCGGGGGCGGTGAGGCCTGGGAGGTTCAGTGGGAGGGCACGCAAGTACAGTTGGAGTCCCAATAAAGGGAGGAGCGGGAGAAGGCACAGGAGGGGACTCACATATAGAAGATGGAGCAGTAGTACGAGTAAGAGGAAGGTCTGCAGCGGCTGGATAGGTGGTTGTGGCAGGAGGAATGGGGGGACCATAGCTACAACTGGTTGAGAGGAAGAATAGGATGAGCGTGTTGGATATGGAAAGATATTTTCATAAAAGTGGACATCTCTAGAGACAAAAACTTTGTTACTCACAAGGTCAAACAACTTAAACCCCTTTTGGCCAGATGGATAACCCAGGAACAAGCATTTTTTGGATCTGGAATCTAACTTAGTGCGATGTGGATTCATGTCAACACAGTAGCATAGACATCCGAAGGTGTGAATATGAGAGAGAGTAGGGAATCGGTTATGAAGCTTTTGAAATGGTGAGCACCAACCCATACTAGCAGAAGGTAGTCTCTTAAGGATGTGTGTGGCCATGAGCAAGGCTTCCCCCCAGAAAAGGTGTGGCAATTCAGCCTGAAATAGGAGAGCTCGGGTTATTTGAAGAAGGTGTTTGTGTTTAATTTCGGCTCGACCATTTTGTTGAGGGCTATAGGGACAAGAGCGTTGGTGGTTTATACTATGCTGGTGGAATAATTTGTAGCACTGTTTGTTAACAAACTCACTACCATTATCGGATCGAATGGTTTTTACAGTTATGCCATATTGGTTTTTGATATTAAGGATAAAGTGTTCTATGGCAAGGCATATTTGTTGTTTAGTTGGAAGAAGAACAGTCCAAGTAACACGGGAGTAATCATCGACTAAGGTGAGAAAGTAATGACAACCTGTCAATGAGGCAAGTTTGTATAGTCCCCAAAGATCAATATGTAAGAGATCAAAACAAGCATTAGATTCGGAAGTACTTTTATTAAATGGAAACCTGTGTTGTTTAGCTCGGTGACAAGCATCACAGGGATTACAAGCATCAATGGTAGGTAAAGACATATGTCTCAAGGTTTCAGAAGAACTGTGTCCCATCCGTCGATGCCACAGCCAAGCTTCATGAATGTCAGCAGTGGTGGCTGCCACTGGCACATATAAGGTGGCTTTATTTGAGATAGGAGTATCAGTCTGGAAAGTATATAGATTATCGGTACGGTGTCCAATTCCAAGAACGTGGTCAGAAGTCCTGCAGAAGACACACAGAGGGCATAAAGGTGAGCTTGCAGGAAGAGTCATTTACTAGAAGACTCACAGAGATGAGATTGAACTTGAAGGAGGGAATGTGATAAACGTTGTGCAGGGTAAGCTTGGAGGATAGAACTACAGAACCAGAATGGGTGGCTATGTGGTACGTACCGTTGGGTAAGAATATTTTGGGTTTGATGGTGACAGGTTGCAAAGAGGTGAAAAGATTGGCATCAACACAAATATGGCAAGATGCACCACTATCAAGGAGCCAAGAAGAAGTATCTAAAGCAGCAATGCTAGAACAGATGTTACCTGCAAATTCGATGGCCAGGTTGGTGAACTCAACATGGGTGTCTGGTGTCTTTCCAAGAAGCTTCTGCAATTCTGATCGAACCAGAGCTCCAATGTTTCCTGCATGATCATTACCTGTAACAGCTTCAGTGGTGCTTGATTTGGCTTCAGTAGTGGCATTCACCATGTTACTCCGTTGTTCTTGCATTTCCTTATACCAGGATGGGACTCCATGAAGCTTAAAGCAAGTATCCTTGGTATGACCTCTTCGTTTGCAGTACTCACAGGTGACATTTCTTTTGTCCTGCACTTGCCTCTTCTTGTCTCCAAATCTTTTATTGAGAGTAGTTTTTTTTACTTCAGTTGCATTTACGTTCTGATTGGCAAACTCCATTTCCGAAATCTGCAGCTCCTTCTGTTTTTCCACTTCCAAAAGGAGAGCGTAGGCGCGACTCATGGTTGGCAAGGGGTCCATGAGAAGAATTTGTCCCCTAAGGCTTTCGTAAGCATCATTCAGACCAGTGAGGAACTGAATCAATTGGTCCCTGTCCAGTTTTGCAGCATTGCGTTTATTGACATCACAAGAGCATTTACCACATGAGCAGCCAGTTGGAGGATCAATGGCTGTTAGTTCATCCCATAGTTTCTGCAGTTTGGTGTAGCAGAGTTTGGTGTAGTAGGCAGAAATTGTATCTCCTCCTTGAGATGATGTAGTAATACTCTTCTGCAACTGAAAAATGAGGGAAAAGTTGTATTGGCCAAACTTTTATGTCAAATTATCCCAAAGTTCCTTGGCTGTTGGCGCAAATACAAAGGCATCTTGAAGATATGGAGTTATTGAGTTTCTGATCCAAGCTCTAACCATGGCATCAGCTTCAATCCATGCTTCATATGTAACATCATCATACAATGGCATAGGTAGTTTGCCAGTGATAAAAACCAACTTGCCTCTTGCAAACAGGGAAGTGCGGACAGTTCGGGACCAAGTGATGTAGTTATTGCCATTCAAAAGAATGGAGGACGGAGAAAAGCGGGGATGATTTCCAAATTGTAGCAACAAGGCCTTGGGAAGGAAAGTGGCCAAAGTTCCAGAGGTGTTTCGATTCTCTGATTTTGAAGAAGTATCCATGAGCAATTAACAGGTAGGGAATACTTGCTCTGATACCATGAAGAAAATAAAAGGGAAAGAAGAGGAATGACAGAGCAATGAGGAAGACAATTCTGGAATTTTCTATCTTTTGTAAATTAGGGGTTGAGGAATATATACATGGAGATGGATAGAACCAAAAAACTAATTTACAACAAACTTTGATAGATTCCTAACCAACTACTAATATGTATACACTTGTCAATGTGGTCCTCGTTATCCTTTATCATCTTCCAACAACGTTTACTTTTGGCGCGGTGTTTAAGAAATAATAGTATTTTAATTATAGTGAGTAGTTAAAAGTAGTGTAATGACATTTTTGCCCTTATTTTATTTTATTTTTTTTGTAAAAGTAATATTTTATAATAAACAATTGATAAAATTTGTCAAAAAACACTCCTTTGAAAATATGGATTTGTAGAAATAAGAAAATAAAAATTGATCGACATAAATAAATTTAAATGTAATATCTTAAAAATAATATGTTACATGCACATTGAATACTTTCTTCATCACCTAAAAATGACTGAGGTTTAATGTGAATGTACTTTTATTATTTTTTATTTTTTATACTATAAAAATACAATAGATAAGTATAATTTTTTATTAAATAAAAAAAGATATTAAATAACAAAAAAAATAAAAAATATTTAAGTGGTAGAAGAAATATAATACTATACAGAAAATATAAATTTAATCATTTCCAATATATTGAAATCTTTTACTTTTATATATCTTGAACACTTCTAACTTTAAAAAACAAAAGAAAAAAAAAAAAATGATCTACGAAGACTTAGAAGACAATAAAACTTTTATTCAATCATTCTAAACCAATGAGTTTATTCTTCTCCTCCCATATATAATCCAAATTGCAACTTTATTGTAAGGTTATGTCCAATAACTATTTCACCTTAAAAATATCACAACAGATTTAAAAAAAAAAAAAAAAAAAAAAAGAATTACAATGAAAACATCCTAAGATTTTTTTGTCTGAGGAGCCACCTCTACTGTTAACGATGACAATGCTACAGTATCCGGACTCTTTAGCTGATCTAATTGTTTCTTACCTCGCCGGAGTAAATACTCAATGTAAAGAAAGTTCTTGCGGTCTACCTGAGATGAATTCAGGCGAAACTCAGATGAGACAAACGATTCAATCTTACTACGTTCTTCGGGGGGTTTGGACCGTGCTGCCCGTAAGAATCCTCTATACAGAGCAAGGACTTGTTTCTGCATCCCTGAAAGTCTTCGTTTTCCGGAAGCCCCCATGGCATCTTTGTGGAAGGAGTGGACTGAATGCCGTAACTTCTGTAGATTTTCGCGATTCTTGAGAAATAGTGAGCCTATCTGTAGCGCAAAATATTGCCGTGATAAATTTAGGTAATTGAATCCTCCAAAACAGCAGAAATGGAAAAGAAATTTACTTGGAACAATCGAAGCTAATAGAAAACAGCAAATATAGAACATATGACAGGAGGAGAAAACTTTGTACGCCGAGAAAATTATGTAATGAAGCTGTTTGCACGAATCTTAAAACGAGTTTCTTTCTCCCCGGACAAACAATTACATTATCAAGAAACCGTGCTTGATGTGATGCCTTTGTGTGAAGAAAAATATATTTGATGAAATATTTTTCTAAAAAATATCGTTAGCAATTCCAAAATGTGTACATAAACAGAGCTTTAGATTTCTAGAAACGGAAGTGCCTATATCAAAAGTAACTAAAGAAGCCTCTAGCAGCCACATTTGATGTATTTACGGCTAGCTTTTCATAATTGTGACGAATTTGATGAAAACAATGATCAAACTGAACTATGGCAATGTAAAAACAAAGGAAGCAATTATTTTTATTTTTTTTACTATTCAATTTTCAGTTCACTAAAAATAATATATCGTTACTCTCACAAAACATCACATCTAAAATACTTCGGCTAAGTCATAGAGGTAAGAACCTTGTCGTAACTCTAGTGAATGGTTCAAACAAACTCTGGCTCAAATCCAACGAATCAAGAACCAAATTAAGGTCTTCTTTCCGGATATCAAATGGACGACAACTTTACATATGATAAATCACCGATTTTCGGTAAATTTTACTATTTGAACTCTATATTTGCCAAAATAAATACATTTTTTCTATCTATCACAAAACACATGAAACATAATTTAAATACAAAATTCAAACGAAATATTTCCAATCCAATCGCAGAGAAACACTCAATGTTTTGTCAATTGAGGCAGTAAGTATATGACTTATTTATGTCTATTGATCTCCATCACAATTTTATCAACATCTAGAGATAGGGTTTCGCGTGTTTGCTATGAAACCTAATTTGTTATTTCAAAAAATATGTGAATGAAATACAAAACAGTGACAAATCGTCAAAAAAGACTAGAAATTAAATAGATGAACATCATTTGAGGATAATAACTTAATTAAATAAAAATCTCTATCCCCACCAACAAAAAGCAAACGAATTAGCAAGAATCTCATAAATCGGAAGAAGGAGAAACTTCATCGGATCGAAACATTTTAGAACAAGGAAAAAAAGAATAAGGGAATTAGGAAATCAAATCTGAAGTAGCGTACCTCTTCATTGTTGAAGCTCAAATTCAAAAGAAATCTGAAGATCGATCGAGTTTCTACGGATGCAACGCTGGAGGGTTTCGGACAAGTAGTGGGTATGCCCAAGACCGAATTATTTTGAATAACCAATCTTAATAACTCGACGAAGAACGAAGACACGTTTAGGAAAAATGGTGGTTAAGAAGAAAGGAGGTCCAGTGGGGAGAATTTTTTTTGGGTATTCTTTATATTAACCATTATATAATATTTATTATTATTATTATTTAATTAAAATTATTCTTACAAATAGCTTCGGTAATGCATAGCCTAAAATTATAGGTTCGAATTTATTAGAGTTGGGATTAGATAATATTTTGAAAATTGATTAACGTTTAATATGATATGAATAAATATTGTATACCCAAACAAATGTAATAGGAGCATAGTGAACAAAATGATCATTTCCATTGCTCCATCTTTTTCTGTTTCCTCCACGACTCATTTAATTGAGATTAAATTTAATTATTACATATATTTTTAAATTACTTATGATACTGTGCATCTTATTCAAAAAAAAGAGTTACATTAAATATTTGTTTCTTCTCCTAAATTCCAAAACTCATCAAAACAGAACCTAACATATATAAAGCAGAAATTTTATAAACTTGGTATCAAGTTTAGATACCCAGAGTTTCAAATATCCAACAAAATAGCTTTTCGTGACCACAAAGGCTTGCATTAACTAAGAACATTATTGTGTAAGAACACTACCATACATTTCTTGCATAGAACATTAGACTTGCTAAGAAAACGATTAAGAATATGTGAACAATTCTTAATTTCACCACTTGAACTCTAACATAACCTTCCATCCTCAACGGTTCCGACTTTAAAAAATTCTACTGCTCGAAAACAAACAAGCTTAGAGAAGCAAAGCAGGTTTCAATGCAACAAAAGATAAACATGGCGCGCAAGAATTATCACTACAATCGTATCTTCAACCCTCAGAATCACGAATTTCTATCTCGACTTTTTTTAAGGTCTTTGGGTCCTCGGATTCTGGTCCACAGAGGGAGATTGGTCAGGGTTGTCCGGGCGGGGCTCTTCAGGGAGCGTCGCGAGGAGAAATTTCTTGTTAGAGCCGACTTGATTGCAAATCAGTTTCAGCATATTTCTTCCCCTCATCCATTTGAGCATCAATTTCATGTGAGTTTTGCTGCTCAATCCACTTACCCCAACATCCTGCAATTGTTTTGCAACTTATTACAAACCAATTCAGAAACTAGTGTGTTTGGATGTGGTTTCGTATCTGACTTGTACTATTTACTATTTTTTTTCTCCCAATAATAATTAATAACACCGGATCAATATCTATTCCCCCGTTTAAATTGTTATGCTCAAAATTTATTTCTAATTCAAATCATCACACCAACCACCTATTTCAAATCAATTTCTTATGCTATGTTGAGATAGAAGTTTTTGGAGTTTTGAAAAATTTTAGAGATAATAAAGAAATTGAGTATTTGATGTGATATTTTTTTTAAAAAAAATACCCTCAATGATAGTGCCAAAACTTCCAAAAGTGTGTACGTAAACAGAGCCGGTATCCCAAACTATTTTCAAACCACACCTTGTTTGGTTGACCGAAGAGTAACATTTTATTGGTGTAAATTTTAAATGCCAAGGGTTTCTTAGTTTGATTTACTTTTAGTTTTAGTTTAGTTTTTTATTTTTTATTTTTTGGTGTTTGAGTGTGGGGGAGCTTGTGTATGTTTTTGGTTTTGATGTTGAATATGATGTTTCTAATGGACACTGAGTATCAGATGTGATGTTTCTAGAGATAAGTTGAGAGATTGAATAGTAAACAAACAAGAAAAAACTCCAAGAGATCAAAAAATCTAGTGACATATTCGGCAAGGTACCTAAGCACATCCTTGGCGAACGACCAAAATGCTTAAGATGTTTGGGAATTTGTTATATAAGATGCGTGACCCTCCAACATGTCATTTGAGCCAATCATCATATGTAAAAAGTGTCTTACATAATATTTAGAAATGAATCATTCAAAATTTTTAACACATTAGTGGGTCAAATGTCATGTTTAACAAATCCCTGACCATCAACATCTTGGGTCTGCTTGCGGGGTTGCAAAACTAATCGATGGCACTAAAAGTTTTATCTCCTTTTCTTTCTTGTTAACAGAATCATTACCGCCAAAAAAAATTACAAGTCTGTACAATAACTTTACCTAAAAAATTAATTCAAAATAGAACTAGCTACACCTATGTTGAACTTGGGTAAAAGCTAAATTGTTGGATACAAAGGAAATCACCTAACCAAATGGATAATCCGCTGCAGTTTGGTTCCAAAATCTTTCCATTGGGTTAATAATATCAGCAACAAAGTAGTATGCATGTGTTTAATGACAACGAAAAAAATAAAAAATGTTAAAGTTAAGCATCTCTTCCGAGAAGATTATTTAATCCTATAAACATGATGCCATTGTAACATTAAGCAAACAATTCAAGTTGACGATTTTCAATTTTTTTTCCATTTGTATCTCACATTTCTAGTTAATAATTATTTATACAATATTGTTAGCATATACTAATTCCTTTCCAGCATCTCAAATCCCCAAATATAGTGAAAAAACCCTAAACTTTCAGCTATAAACAGTATGATTAATAACAGAGCAGGTCAATCGTATCTCTTCCTTCAGAAAACGCTCCCAATTTCAGCAAAATCGGATTATAAAGACAAACCAAAACATCGAATTAAGTATAGAACGCGCACCTTGGCGTGATTCCAAGCGGTTCCGACGGTGACAGGGCCGTGGCTCTTGATAACGCCGTACAGACCTTCGGCAATGTGTGCAGCTTCCTGGAATGGAACCCTAGGGTTTATCTTCCTCAAATTGGGGGCGCGCTTCCTCGACTGCGACGAAAAGTGCCTCACCACCATCGCCGTCACCGCATTGCCATTGCACTTCCACCACATCGTCTTCTTCTTCGTCTTCAGTCCTCAAACACCACAGATCGATTGACAGAGATGGGTTACCCTCGTTACATCTTCGGATTGTTCTCTGCCTCATTTCGTATTTCCCATTGGGCCAGAGAATGAAAGCCCAATTAATCGAAGTATTAGTTAAATTATTATTACAATAAAATAATACTTACAAAATTGATGCTCGATTGAGCTCGACATAATAAAATTTATACACTAATGTTGCTTTTAATTATAGATTCCGGTGAATTAACTATGAATACATTGAGGAAATATATTTTCGGATAGTGACTGCATGTTGGAATTATCAACAGGGAAGAAAAGAGTTTGTCCGACCTGAGATCCAATGCGAACAATCAATCGAAGGAGAGTAGCTTCCACGCCACTAAAAATAAATATATATATATATACATCAGAAATTATAGTTAATTTCCATACAATTTATTGTAAACAAAACAATACAATTACTCGATCTTATCACATGATATGCAATTTATATTTATATTATATATTGATTACTCTTTGCTATGTTTTGTTAATATTGTATTAATTTTTTCAATCAGTACTGTCACTTGAAATAATCTTCATTGTTATTGCCCTCTAATTAAAACTTTTGTTTGATCTTATTTTCAAATCAAATTTTATCGTTTTTATAAAAATATGTTCACCTTACTATTTTAATTTATCTAATCTAAATATGTTCATTTCATATTTAATAATTTTTCTTCTTTTTTCTAATAAAAAAATTATTCACTATATTTATATCTCTTTTATATTGTTCAGTTACTCTACCTCAATGTATTGGTCGTGTGCGAGGAATTCAGTACATTGAAAGTAGGGTTATTGAACAATTATCATTAACGATCTCTTGTGTATTTCTTAGATACATTCTATTTAAAATATATATTATTAATTTTATAAAAATTTCTATTCGACTATTATAAAAAGTACAGATAAAAAAAACCCAAAATTAGATCAAAATAAAACAAAACAATACGAACACCATAATCCCCTTATTAGTCAACACGAAATAATAATATTAGATTATCACTATAATCTAAAACGAAAACTACAAGCGAAAGAATCAAATGATGAGTAAAGATAGACAAAATCACAAATCACAACTACCCCCCTCCCCCCATTTACTATTTTTAGCAACTTCCATACAGCCTACCTTACCTCAAGCAAAGGAGCGTCGTAGGTTGTCGGAGAATAAACCGGACAGATTCATGGGCCAAATCTATCCTCCCCTCCAATTCGTCTCCCTTAAAACTACACTTCCATTTTTTCACTTCATTTCGATCATGGCGACAAAAACACAAACAAACAAACATTAATTAATCAATCAATCAAGAATCAATACAACAACAACAATGGCTAAGGACTCACAAAAACTCCATCTCCACCTCGACGCCAAGAAGAAACGCATCACCTACGTCGCCGCCGTCGCCGCCCTCTGCGCCCTCTGCTACATCCTCGGCGGCCGCCACGGCGGCGCCCCGCCGATCTCCACCCCGCAAGAAATCTCCTCCAAGCTCGGATGCAACACCGACGACGACTCTTCCGCCGCCGCCGCCGCCATGCAGCTCGACTTCGCGAGCCACCACTACCTGCAGCTCAACACCTCCTACGACTCCGGCGAGAGCTTCCCCGCCTGCGACTTCAAGTACAGTGAATACACGCCCTGCGAAGACCAGGAGCGCAGCAAGAAATTCAACCGGACCCAGCTCAAGTACCGTGAGCGCCACTGCCCCGCTGCCACCGACCGCCTCCGCTGCCTCATCCCGGCGCCACCAAACTACAAGAGCCCGTTCAAATGGCCGCAGAGCCGCGACTACGCCTGGTACAACAACATCCCCCACAAGGAGCTCAGCATCGAAAAGGCCGTGCAGAATTGGATCCAGGTCGAGGGCGAACGCTTCCGATTCCCCGGCGGAGGCACCATGTTTCCTCGAGGCGCCGACGCGTATATCGACGATATCAACGCGCTCATCCCGCTTACCGACGGAACCATCCGCACTGCTGTCGACACTGGCTGCGGCGTAAGGATATCAATAGATTAGCATATATATATATACGCATTTTGTTTTTGCGATTTTGATGGATCCTCTGTTTTCAGGTGGCGAGCTGGGGGGCGTACCTGCTGAAACGGGATATAATCGCGATGTCGTTCGCGCCGAGGGATACGCACGAAGCGCAGGTGTGGTTTGCGCTCGAGCGAGGCGTCCCAGCGATGATAGGCATCCTTGGTTCGCGCCGGCTACCGTATCCTGCTCGGTCGTTCGACATGGCTCATTGCTCTCGTTGCCTCATCCCCTGGTTCGATTACGGTAAGAGTCGAGACATAAGATAATTCAATGTTTACTATAAAAGAACGGCGTAAGCTTGTTACCGGGCATCCTCATGCAGATGGCTTGTACCTGATCGAAGTCGACCGGATTCTGAGGCCGGGCGGGTACTGGATACTCTCGGGTCCTCCGATCCGATGGAAGAAATACTGGAAAGGCTGGGAGAGGACGCCGGAGGATTTGAAGAAAGAGCAGGACTCCATCGAAGAAGTAGCGAAGAAGCTCTGCTGGAAGAAAGTAGTCGAGAAGGGTGACTTGGCAATCTGGCAGAAGCCGATCAACCATGTCGAGTGTCGCAAGACGAAAGGGACGATCCCTATCTGCGCAACATCTGACAATGCTGACGAAGCTTGGTACAAAGACATGGAAGTCTGCATAACTCCACTGCCACAGGCGAGCAAAGCGAGCGAGGTCGCTGGGGGAGCGCTCAAGAAATGGCCGGATCGCGCCTTCGCTGTCCCGCCGAGAATCAGCAGCGGTTCGATCCCGGGGGTCAACGCCGCCAAATTCCAAGACGACAACGAGCTGTGGAAGAAACGTGTCGCCTACTACAAGAACCTCATCTACCAGCTGCCGCAGGGAGCATATCGGAACGTGATGGACATGAACGCGAACTTAGGAGGATTCGCAGCCGCGATGCTCGATTACCCCGTTTGGGTGATGAATGTGGTCCCCGTGCACGCTAAACCGAACACCCTCGGAGTGATCTACGAACGGGGCCTCATTGGCGCCTACCAGGACTGGTGTGAGGCCTTCTCGACCTACCCTCGAACATACGATCTCATCCACGCAGACAACGTTTTCACAATGTATCAAGACAAGTGCGACATCGCCGATATCCTCCTGGAGATGGATCGGATTCTCAGGCCAGAAGGCGCCGTCCTTTTCAGAGACACGGTCGAGGTCCTGCAGAAGGTGAAAAGCATAGCAGATAGAATGAGATGGGAGAGCAAAATACACGACCACGAAGACGGGCCATTGAACCCCGAGAAGATCCTTGTTGCCAAGAAGACTTACTGGACTGCTGAGCCACAAAAAGGACAGAGCCAGACGAGTAATTAATCGAAACATCTGGCTTACGCTTTGGACGATCTTCACCTTCGATCGTTTCTACCTGCAGGTGAAGTTTTAGAGATCTTTCCTAGGCTTTTTTCCTTTCTTCTGTACATTGATTTTTGACTGTATAGCTTCTAGTGTTGAAGGGCTTCCTCTGAGCTGTGGAGAAAGATCTCACATTGTACAAAAAGTGCAGTTGAGTTTTCATAATAAACCCTTTAGCAAATTAGATTCATCAGCAAGTTCTACAATCATAGAAGCAAATTCGAATAAAGGTGAAACAGTCAAACAAGCTTAATCAGCAGCCAACACTTGCAAATATGTAAAGCTCATCAAGATAGAAACAGCAAGCCAGATCTATGTTTGTATATATACTCCACAAGTTCTTGTTCAATCTAAATTCATCCATAGGAAGGGCCGAGCAGAAAAGGCCAACAGGAATCGGTTAATGTGTTTTGTATTTTTTCATGTTCTTGGCCTAGAGGGAACTTCAAGAACAGACTGCAATTCTACTATCATATCATATAGTAACACTACGGAGCTTGGAAAAGAAACTAGAGCCAGAACATTGGCGTCGTGGATGAATCGACATGGTGAGACTTATTCCAGAAATGGAACCTGTTGCAGAAGAAATGAATCAAGACTGTGGACTGTTTTCGTGTGCTCTTTCGAGGATGCAGTCTTGGAAACAAATGTTTGTGTTTATTCTTCTTTAGAAGGAACTCTTACCTGCAACAATTATATAACAGATCACAAAACAAATTTCAGCTATAGAAGGTAGTTGATTCTCTAGAAAGTGGTTACAATCTGCAATTTAGAGGTTGCTTTCATGGAGAATTCTGGAAATGACGATTGGTTAATGATTATGCCATTACCTGAAGAAATCAAGACCAGGAATTATCGAAGGCGGCAGAGGTGATTGCCCTGGAGAATTCCTGGAAATTGATCCGTCCATCGCCGTCCATGTCGGCTTCCTTAATCATTCCGGTCAATTCCTCGGCCGTCAAGGCGTGGCCGAGCTTGGCCATGGAGTGAGCCAGCTCAGCCGCCGTGATAAAACCGTTCCCGTCCCGATCAAACATCCGGAACAGATGCCGCAGCTGTTCCTCCGTGTACGGCGACTTCGCCGGCAGGAGCTCCGGCGCCACCAGCGCCACAAACTCCGAGAACTCTACCAAGCCGTTGTTATTGGTGTCAGCTTTCTGGATCAGCGCGTCGAGCTGATCTCGGCTCGGCTTGAGCCCCAGCGAACGCAACAGCGAGCCGAGCTCGAGCTCCGTCAGGCTACCGTCGTTGTTCCTATCGAAGGATCGGAAAATCTCCCTCAGCTCCCCCAACTGCTCGTCGTCCAATTTCACCGCCGCCGGCTCTTCCCCGCCGCTCATCTCTGCTTCAAAATTCCTGAAAACCACAACCACCAAAAAAACTCCAAAAAATTCTCTATATCCTCCACTCCTCTCGTTTACCGCGTGAAGTGGTCCCCCGATTCCCTGAAACTACTCTGCAACTTCCGATTCAATTCACCCCTACGCAGCAGCCGATCCAAGAAATTTCCCAATCCACAAGACCACAACAACCTCCATACACCGTCGAATACACTCAAATCGCTAATTTCGTCGCTGATCCGAGGGAGAATCCGAGTCGCCGGTAAACGATTGAAGAGAGCGAATCCTCCGGAGACGAATCGGAAATGGAATGGAATCGAAGAACAAGTCGACCTTTGTAGTCGGACTGAGTCAGGCAATGCTTAATAGGTTAGGTAATTACCATTTAACCCTCGCTGATGGTAAATTAATTGTTAATTAGTGGACATTTATTTTTATTTATAGAATGTCCTATTTAATTTAATTTTTATTTTTATAGAATCTCCTATGTTTGGATTACGATCTGGGTTATGTTGTCATGTTGTGCAACCTTATTTATTTATAAATTAAATTCTATAATTTGCGATAATGGATTTTCTTTTTATGCCAGCTATTAAATAAAAAGCAGCAAAATATGGCGGGAATCGCGTGAAAGACGGATGTCAATGTAAACCGTTGGATTAAAATTTTGACGGCCGGATATCAACATCATAAGGTGGCCAACGACTCTTTGTTTTTTAGTCATTGTACACACGTTCGTGCTTATTATTATTATATCGAAATTGTATATATATATATTGTTAAATTATAATAGCAGTCAGAATATCACCAATGTGAAAGAAGAAGACGAAGATTGAGACCTAAAAGTTCATAGTTAAATAAGTTTGCACTGAGCAAAAGGAATCAAGCAACAGACAAGACCTAACAAAACACACACACACACATATATATATATATGTAGAGAGTCATGAGTTTTAAGGAAGTCAATTCCCGAACCACCACCCATTGCAGGATGTCGACGACAACGAGGAAGACGACAATATCCAAATTGTCTCGACACCCCGCAAGGATCATATCTGGTGCGCTCTTGACTCCCCGATTCCCAGGACATCATACATAACAGTAACTCGCAGACTTCCATCGACGCAACCTAGCTATATATATACTAATATATATATATATATATATATGTCATTGATTATTACACAGAACCGCTGCCATTAATTCATCTTCCTTAATTACCGCATTAGGATGTGGAGGTGGAGGTGGAGAGACCAGTCGCTGGCGCCGGCGGTTCGACATTGTCGGTTCCGCCGAGAGCTGCGTTGATCTGCTGGACAGTGTTGCAGAGATGGTGGTTAATGGCAGTCACGCTGGAGAGATTGAGCTTTGCAGTAGGGATTGTGCTGGCCAGGACTTGCAGACCTATGGTCAGCAGACAGCCTGGCGGTGCAGCCGCCGCCTGGCTGGAGTTTTCCGCCTGCTGGTGGTGGTGCTTGACGGCCTCGTTGTGGGTGGCGGGGACAATGACGAATCCTAACGGGAGGAGAGGAATGCAGGAGGGATCCTCGCAGTTCATCGCCATTTGGATTGCATCGACGTCGATTGTCGTGTAGACGACGAGGCTGCCGGAGTCATCGGAGCAGCTCTCTTGAAGGACTAGCTCGACGCTTTGCGACGAGTTGCTAGCAACCTACGTCGGTGCAATAATTAGAGCGAGGTATTGTAATAATTTTGACGGACGAAAAAAATGCGCGCAAACTTACGTTGATGCGGAGAAGGGAGATGCAATTCCCAGGATGGGAGCCGTTGGCGATGTGCGCCACTTCGTGTAGCGAGTTCCCGTTGGAAAGGACATCGAGCTTTAGAAGCGCGACGTAAATTGTCAGCACTTAGACATACATGAATAGTCCCGAGTTTGTATTAGTTTTGGCGGGAAGGGTTCCCGCCAAAACTAATACAAACTCGGGAAATGGTAAAGGAAACATGTAAGGATAGGCTAACCTGAGCTCGACGGCGCTCATCTCTCAAGAAGTCGAAGACGAGGTTGTGTTGGAACGGAAGCCAAGTTGTTGACACGGCGCTGAGGATAAGGCCGTTGGGCTGTCCCGGATCAGTAACTTTCCTAGTCGTGATTCTAACGGTGTCATCGGCAGAATCTGAGAGGGCTGTCCAAGATTGTCCACAAGAAGTGCTTATGTTGAGACAAAATGTCCGGATCATCCTTTGAGCAAGATTCATCATACTTTTCCGCGCTTCCGGAGACGGGATCACTGCAAGAACAAGAGTGATAATTGAGCATATGATTGCTAAAAAGAGACAATGTAAGATCGAACAATGTTTGATCTACCTCCAAGATCCGATATATTTCGAGCCATAAGGCTAGCGAGCCTCTCACATTGTCGCTGCATAACGGCTAGCCATCGTTGCGCGCCAAAGGCAACTCCGCTTGTCACCAAGCTATCAAAAACTTGATGAATCGAACCATCCTCTACCTCGGCATGCTCAACCCATGTAACCTAAATGTTACAAAAAAAAAAAAAAAAAAAAAAAAAAAAAAAAAAAACATACAAGGTAAACGCAATGTAATACAATTTTCACCAAGAATCTTGATTATCATACCCTCGAGTATCCATTAGGCATGTCTTGTATAACGCATCCGGAAGGGCGACGTTTGTAGTAAGGCAAAGAAGGTGGATAGCCATTCTGAAAACCATCGAGGGGGAAGTCGACAATCGCCCAAGTTCCCTCCTCGGCATTGTGTTGGCAATACCGAAGAAAATGTGCCTCTCTTGTTGGGATCAACGGCGACAAAACTTGGAGCTCGGCGTACATCTAAGGCAAGAAAATCGACGCAAGATATCAATCAATTGCAACCATATCTTAAGAGTGCGACTCCAATGTATATATATCTTTTAGATTCAAATTTACCAGATAAAGAGAACCGTTAGCATGACCAGAAATCTCAGAGTGTACCACTTGAAGAACTTTCGCCCGGGAAACTATCGAAGGGAAGAGCTCCATCCATTTGTTCTAAAAAAACACAAAATGCAAGGTTAGATCAACACTTTCTAAAGCTTAAAGAAGATACCAAAACATCTATAAAACCCACAAAAACCACAATCTTACCGCGTCAAGAAATGCATCGACGAGGGTGATGCTATTCATTATAACAACGGCAGTGTCTTTACTCGCTTCGGTCCTAAACTTGCGGGGCGGCGGCTGCTTCATCCCATCCAAAGATGACCAAGAAAACATTCTTGCGTACTCTTCGACATTCAGCACTAACCGCTTCCCTCCGCACAGCCAAAGAGGTTCCCCGTTGCGACACATCTTCAAAAGCTCGTCCATGGAGGACAAGGCGACGTCGAGGGCCAGAGATTTCTCCTCCTCCATGATCATGATGTTTCCATGGAAATTCGAGTTTTCGGGGATGAAGGGTAGAGGAATGTTCATGGCTTGATCCGGAGGGCAGCTAGTGATTATGTTGTCTTGATCGAACTTTCTCGGATAAACACTCATGTCCAAATCGAGGGATGAAGGAGCCAGCAGCGACGGTGGCGCCATCGGCTGCATCGGCCGGCCCGTGTACTGCGAGATTAGGCAGCACATCCGATCATACTGCGTTGCAAGACATGGTTAGAAGAACAAACATTTTAATTGTAAGATTAACACAAGTTCTTTGGTTGTTAGAATTTTAAGGATCGAACATCAGTTAGACTAATCAGTTTGATCCAATTGATCTTAGATTGTAATAACACAAATTCTTTCCTTGTTAGAATGAAGAACATGAGATATAATAACTCAATTCGATCAAATTGATCTACCTCCGGCCGGAGAACTTTTTGATTATTTTACTATGCATTTGTCACAAACTTTTTGTGAAAATATATATTATTTCATCTCAAAACACACCCACAACAACAACAACAAAAAGATCACATGATGGAAAGAAACTATCTTTGAATTGAAACACACAAATTGTTAATTTTTGGGTTCCCCATAAAATTCCATGAAGAGATTCATCAAGTCATTTAATAAAATTTCATCTGTAAAACAAAATTTGAATGAAAAATATATAGTTGGTGTCATTTAAAATTGCAATAAATGTGAATCCAACCACTACGAATTTGTTACTAGTTCCTTGTGGCATATCAAATTAAACACGCACAAGTTCATTATACTCAAAGGACAAAGGACAGTCATTATTGATTAAAACAAGTAGAAAGAAATTCGAAAACTAATCAAAGAAACAAAAAATACCTCCTCCTTCAGGCGAGCATTTTCGATTCGAATCTGCTGCTCATCGATCCCCATCTCCCCAAGCATGGCAGGCCCTCCACAATTAGGGCAGACGACATTCCTCAATGTGGCCTGCAGACGATAGTTCTCGTTCTTCAAGCTCTCATTTTCAGCCCGAAGCACCACATTATCCTGCCTGTCTTGTTGCGCCTGACGATCATAATCAAAATTGTAATACAACAATTTTGTAATTAAATTGTGCTTATTTAGGGTTTGGAAATTCAATTGGTAATTGGATTTGGATTCATTTATAAAAATTTTAGGAATGAAGAGTCCCTAGCTAACCCTAATGTGTAAAAAGCATTAATGGATGGATGGAGATGATGATGGGTAGGGTTGACTAAGCCACCCACCCAACCCCCACCTCATCCCACCCCTCATCGCCTCCTACAGACCACACTGCGTGTATTAATGGCGATTGCAGACATTGAAAGCAACCCTATGTTAATGTGTATTACTGTGGGGAGGATTGATAGATAGATGAAGATGTATACATACATATTTATGTATGTATATATTCGAGATGGTAGGTTTTCGTTAGAGGTTTTGGTTTCGGACCTTTTGTAGCAAATGCAATTAATTAAAATTCTGCACACCCTCGGAAATCGAGCTGGCCCTTTTGCTTGTACACTATTTTCACAGCTGGAAATGAATTCAATTTCTAGGGTTTTAATGGCCATTGAATTGATTTGAACGCCCTTTAAAAAATATAAAAAATATAAAAAATTACCTTCATTTGAGTTCGTCGATTCTGGAACCAGAATTTGACCTGTCGTGGCTTGAGGCCGAGATCTTGGCTGAGTTTGAGCCGCTGCTTGTCGTCTGGATGTGGGCACTCTTTGAACAACCTGGATTGGATTCGATGGCAACAACGTGAGATTGGAAATTTGGGGATTTGATGTTTAATGTAAAGAAGTTTGAAATTGAATGTACTGACGATTCCATTTCTTGGATCTGACGAGAGGTGTGGCGGTGGTATCGTTTTTTCTTGGCCTGAGGCTGTAGCTGATCGGATTCCTGCTCGTTGCCGGAGATTCCTTCCATGTGCTCGCTGCCGGAGCCGCTTTCGAGTTCTTCTTTGTTCTTGGCGATTACAGATTCTTCTTTCTGGTTTTTTGAGAAAAGGAAATGAATTAGAAATTGGAATTCGAAGTTTGTGATGTTTAATTAGGGCTTACTGGTATGATCGGTGTGGCGAACATGCTGAAAGGGTTAATGTTGGCCATGAAGTTGAAGTTGGGGGTGTGGATCGACGGCGGCGCCGGCGCCGGCGGCGGGTAGAGGGAAGTGGCGTCGGAGGGATTGATGGAATTGGGGCCCATGGTTGAGAGAACTTGACAATCTCCATACATGGTTAATTTTATGATCTGGTTTTCGATCTTCTCTACTTATCTTCTTCTTCTTCTTCTTCTTCTTCTTCTATTCTGATCTGATTTCTTCTCCACCAGCGATAAATAAGCTTACCTGCAAGTGTCGCTGTAAATCGAAAATAAAAAAAGAAGCATAAATTGGAAAATTCAACTCGTCGAGAAAGAACACCAAAACTGGTAAAAATCAAGAAACCTTAAATCACAGCAAAATTGACAAATGAGTTGGAAAGGCTGAGTCCAGAGAGGAGGAAGAAGAGAAAGAAGACTGACCGGAATGAATTAATAAATGGAGTCGTTGACGAAATGAAGAAATCAAACCAGAAGAGGAGTGAATAAATTATACCACTACACACACATATATATATATATATATATAATAAAATAAATAAATAAATCAGTAGACTAGGAATTACACTTCCCTTTTTTTCTCTCTCTAGATATATATATTTATCTGTCGGTTGTGCTTTCTTATCTCTTCATCTTCATCGTCTTCGGAATATTAATTAATATGGTGATGATTATAATTGTGTTGTTATCTAATTCATCTCCATTTTAAATAATTAATTTGACCAATTTGGTTGTCTGACAAAGCAATGGAGTTAAATGCATTTCTACCCGACTGTAACAGTAAAAATTATAATTAATTAGGTGGGGTGGGTGGTAATTGAGAGAGGGGTATGCATAATGCATGGAATGGAAATTATGGAAGTAACCGATGAAACGCCGGGTAATAATAAGAAAGCCGATTGGGGTGGGGTGGGGTGGACACGTGGCGCCTTTATGGTGGTGAGAATAAATGCTCCTTCAGCCCCTACATAAGTCAAACCTTTTCTTCTTCTCCCATTCAACCCCCAATCTTATTAAATATATATTTTTATCATTTTAAAATTTTGGATTCATATATTATATAAAAATATATTACAAATTAAAAATGGTAAAAATACTTCTATTAATATCTCATATTATTATAATAATATTTATATAAAAAATTATATTTTAATTATTAAGTACAATGACGCAAAAGTTATATGAAATCTTAGAGGCGAACAACGGGAATATTATACTCCCTCCGTCCCATTGAAAGGTTATCATTTTTTATTTTCGTCCATCCTAAAACAAGGTTACTATTTTCTAATTTAGTAATTGTACTGCCTATTTAACATAATAAATACCCTTTCAACTTACAATATATTACACAAATGTCATTACTTTTATGATGTAATATTAAAAAATTTATGAGCAAAAAAGCAAATGTCTCCCTTCCAACGGGAGAGAGGGAGTATAAACTTTTGAACATATTTATATATATCTTTCTAAATTATATATGTAATATTTCATATTTCATGTGTAATATTTCATCCGTCTCATAACTAGGTATCTATTTGCTTTGTGCATTTAGTTTTAAAAATATTAGTATTATATTAAAATATAATAGGAATAAAATATAAATGATTAAATTATCTTTATTAGTATGGTATGATACAAATATAATAATATTTGTGTAATATATTGTAAGTTGTAAGGGCATTTGAAATGTTAAATAAATAGTATCATTACTAAAAAAATAAAAATAAAAATAAATACTTTGTTATGAGATAGACTATAATGAAAAAATGAATAAATTTGTTATTGAACGAAAGGAGTACATTAAATCATTAGTCAATATAAAATAAAAAATAATTTAAATAATATGATGTGATATTTATCTATATATATTTATTTATTTTTATGGAAGAATACGGCTATTGAATAAACAAACAAATAAATAAGTATTTATTTTCTTCTTAAAAATATTCTCTTTAAGTCTTAAAAAAATTATCCTAGTTTTTTTTTATATGTAAACTTTTAACATTACTATTATATTTATATATAATATAAATTTAAAAAATATATATTTCTATTAATATTATGTAATGAAAGTAATATATTTGTGTAATATATTAAATTATAAATATATTTTTTAATATTAGATATAAATTACAATTACTGTAAAAATAAAATGAATGATTTATATATTTTTATTAAAAATTAATGTAATAATTTGTTAGATACAATTATATATTTCAATTGAAAATAATACATAAAAAGCATTGACAGTAACAAATTTACTCGGTCTTGTCCACCTAATTTTTTTTTTATTTTTCTATTTTAATCTGTTTATTTAAAAAAAAAATCAATAAAATTATATCTTAAATAAATATATAACAATTCTAATATTTTATCATCAAAATATTATTTTTATACCAAAAAATAAAAACAAAATTATCTTTATATATATATATCATATGTACTACATTTAATAAAATTTAAATTCTCATTCTAAAAGTAAATGAAAAAGTTATTAATGGACAGAAAAAAATTACAAGCAAATAATTTTTCTATCCAATTTCTATTGTCCTAAAATATGTGTGCACGGTTTTTCAGGTGATTATCATTTTGTTATGAATTGATAAATTTGCTCTTAATTATACGATAGAGATGAAAAATTAATAAATTAATTAAGAATAAAAATGTAAAATATGTATTTTTTTTTAAAAAAATAAGACAATAATTATTGAAGGTCCCAAATAGAAAAGTAGAATATTAGTTTGTAAAGGGAGGGATTATAATAGAATTCATAATGTCTTATATATATTGCGAATTATGCTCAATAGCATAAACATATAATATTTATTATTTAATAAATATATGTTTCATACAATAATATTATCAAAATAACATTAATAACGCTACTTTAAATGAATAGTATAATTAATCAATTCAACGTGGGTAACAAAATTATAATATTAGCAATTAAGTCAATCTTCTATTAATGAAAACTTTTTTCGTGTATTTTGGGATAAATAGGTCAATGATGTATTAATGAAGACAGTTGATTAGTTTTGAATAAATTTTTTTCGTATATATTCCTATTTAATTGTTTAAATCTTATCTTCCAATGATTATTCCTTTGAACTTAATGTTTTGTATGTTAATAATACATCAGTATCAATCTTAAATATATATATATATATATATTCTGTTTATTGTAAAATTTATCTTTATTTTGTTAAAATGATGTATATGATTTCTATGTAATTGTATAAAAAAATAGAGGATAAAAATTACTCCCCCGTTCTAGATAAAGTGTAATACAGAAATTTAAAAAAAATTATAATTAGTAAATAATTAATAAATACAAGTATTAGTAAGTATTAATACTCTCTATGTCCCATAAATATAGTCTTAATTGAGTTGGACATATGATTTAAGAAATATTGATATTATATTGGTATTGGTAAAAAGTATAAATAAAAGATTTTTTTGTCCTTGTGAGTGTATTAGTGTAAAAAATAGTGGTAATTGTATAATAAAAATGAAAAAGTATGGGTAGTTTTATAGCGATATGATTATTTATGGAAACAAGACTATTGTTTTGGGACGGACAAAAATGGTAAATAAGACTATTATATTGAGACGGAGGGATTATTATATCCCAAACACCGTGCAACATTTGTGTTTGGCACGAGAATAGGGAGTATTAAGTATGATAATTTGAGATAATTTGGATATTAAGTGATGTGATTGAAAAGAGAAATGATTATTTGTTTTTTTTTATTTGAGTGATGTGATGAGATAAAGTGAAGTGTATATTAATATATGTATAAAAATATTATTAATTATTTCTAAATTTGAAAATGTTGCAGTGAGTTTGGACAAACAAAAAAGGAAATGTTGCGGGGTGTTTGGAACGGAGTAAGTACATATTAAGATTAATATAATTTAATAATTTAATTAAAATAAAAATTATAGAGTATAAAATTTAAAATATGATTAAAGTATACAATCTTATTTTCCAAAAGAAATAGACAAATTATATAAAACAGACTAAAATAAAAATAATACACTTTTATGTGAGATGAATGGAGTACTTGGATAAGTTTTATTCCAACAAAAAATAATTAATATAATCAATCATTTCACAATGGATTTGAAATATTAGAGGATGTTAGGTACAGATAAATAAAAAAACCAAGAGTTATAAATTAAATGATTTTTCATCCTCTCATCTCATTTTTTTTGTTATATATAAAGATACGTAGAAAATTGAAAATTAAGAATTTAATTATTTAATTATTTTTTACTTTTTATTATTTAATTTATATATTTTTTATAAAATTATATTATTTTATTTCATAACACATTACTATTTAAATAAAAAATCAAAATCAAAATTAAATAAATAAACAAATCACTAATTAAATATACATATATATTTATTTGTTGGAATATGTCTTATTCAATTTATCATCTCAATTTTATCAATTACTTTTCCAATATATCATTCTCTTCTAATAGTTTGATATAAGGGTTTTTTTAAATAAAATAAAATAAATAAATAAAAATTACGAATGCTCTGTATTACTAAAAATAAGAATCAATTATCATTATATGTTATACTCTTGTAGATAAATTATTTATGCTAATTTGTAGAATATTTAAAAATAAATTGTAACTAAAGGTGTTTTTTATTTCATTTTTCCAATTTTGTTTTTCCTATATAGAACAAAAATAATAAAAAATTACTGTAGTCTTAAAAATGTTTTTCTTGGATATTATTGGATTGGAAAATTTATATTTTTTATTAAAAAAATGTTTTTCAATTTAAAATCACAAAGTATCAGTAATAAAATTACTATTGAATAAAATTATTTACTATAAATGAATTATACATTAGTTTAAAGGATAAAAAAAAATAAATAGTAAAATAGTTTTAATGAAATATTATTTTCTTGTTTGTGTAGTTTTATTTTTATTTTATTTAACTCTACAAAATTAAAATTATTATTATTATTATTAAAAATATATTATATTCAATATATAATATCAATAAAAAAAATATCAAAAATCGAATTTAGACCATTAATGCCTTTATGTATGTACTTACGTTGGACAGAAATTCAATTTTCAAAAAACCCCACTTTCAAACTATTAGCACCACACGAATTTAAGTCCATCATGATTCATGAACATCTATTTTATTTTATTTTATTTTATTTTATTTTTTTCCAAATTCTTTATTTCAACATGAATTAAAATTTTAAATAAAATGAAATAAAGAATTAGTTGCATTCAACTAACAAATATAAATTCTAATAACTAATTAAAGTAGGTGGACGTATATAATTTTGTTGTTGATTGTTACATCATAATTTCAGCACCATAACATCACAAATTAAATCACCAATATTTTCTTTACCATCAGCAAAAACATTATCAAATACTACTTGAAAAATCAAAATATTTATTTTATCTCATAAAATACCGTATCAAATACTTAATTTTATA